TTCACTCCCAGCACCTCCCTCAGAGGGAAAATGAGTTTTTGTCATAGAAATGGCATGTGGGTGTGATTTCCCATCAGCTCCCACCCCATTTCCATTCCACAGTGTAAAATCGCATCTTTGCCTGTGCTCGGTTGTTTACAGCAGCACTATTCCCATCAGCCCCAAATTGGACATTACCCAAATGCCCATCAACAGTGGAGTGGTTGAGTCGATTACAGTACGTCTACCCAATGAAATACTAGGCAGCAATGAGAACAAACAGTCTACAACCACATGCAATAATTTGGATGAATCCCATGAACATGATGTTGGTCAAAACAAGCCAGAATCAAAAGAGCACATACAGTAGGCTTCCATATGAAATTGCTCAAAGACAGTTGGGTGTTGGCAATCCATCAGCTTCAATCTCATATAAAGTACAAAACAGGCAAATGGCAGGACAGTGGTTGTTCACAGTTGAGGAGATGTGACTAGAAGGGGACACACGGGGGGCTTCTGGGGTTGTTATTTTCCTATTTCTTGATCCTTGCTGGTCCTACAAGTGTGTTCAGTTTGTGAAAATATATCTATATTTATGATACGTGCACTTTTTTGTATGTATGTAATACTTCAATTAAAAATTTTTCTTTGGAAAAACAAATGACAGGGGGATGCCTCTCCTTGCCTGGGGTGGCATCCACAGCCCTAGTTCCTGATTCTAGCAGGAGGATCATGGTCATGACTTTCAGGAAGTGATATTTACTTGGGGGGTCCAAGGAGGAGGCCCATGTAAGCTCTCAGCATGTAGCTTTCTTCCAGTTCAGACTTTGTGATGTCTGTGGTTTGGGGGCATAGCGATTTCGTTGTTTCATCAGCCGACGTGACTGCCCTATATCTGTAGTTGGTGTTTTCGAGGGAGGGCAGTAGAACGGAAATGCTCCTACTCCACCATCTTCAGTAGGAAGTCAGGATAGATTCCTGAACCCACTGGCATGGGTGTTGTTGTAAAGAAACGGGCCTGAAACTTAACTAAGTAAAATGCTGGTACTTGTTGAGACCCCTTTAGAGTGATCGCCTTGAAGGACAACATCCAGGGTGGCCAGTGCTCAGCGTCAATGGCCATCTCCTGAGTTCTGCTCCACTCGCCGGGAGCTTCCCTGTGGAAATGTTGGGTGTGACGTTTATGCTTTATGGTCACACCCTGTCTGAGGAGTGTGTCTCTTCTCCCTGCACTCCTGGAAGCAAGTGACAGTCTCTCGTCACCCTGCTCCTGCCCCACCCCTGGCACTGAACTTCGTGGGTGCTCAGCTGCAGGGAATGGCCACATCTCAGCCTTGAGCACCATCCTCTCCTGAGGCCAGTGGCTGTAGGGTGGCCTCGGTGTGTTTACACCAGCCCCAAACACAGGATGTGGCACGACAGTGCAGGGGGCACACCGATGGGAGGTCACTTGAATGGTGTGGCACATTGGTGCCTCGGGGCCTTTGCTCGGCTTGTACTGTTCCTTCTGGAGCACGTCCTCCTTGCATCTACTCATCCTGGGGTTCCAGGAAGCCCCGCTCACGTCACTTGGAAGCTCCACCTTCCCTCAAGCCTTTCCCTAGTCCCCTCCGTACTGACAAACGCCACCCCTGGCTGGTCCACTTTCTCATCTCGGTGACACTAACCCTGGAAAGCTGCTGGTGTCATCCCCATTTGCTGTATGGAGAGACCGAGGCTCACCAGGCACAGCCACATGTCCTGGGGGGACACGTGGCTAACAAAGGCTTTGTTAGGTTTTGAAGTCCGATCCCGGAGTGGAGCTCCCCCCATGAGGTCCCGTCACACGGGGTCATTCATGGAGCTCTGATTCCTCCCTCCTGTTCTTAGTCACCATGCACTGAGCTCTAACTGTGCAGCACTCTGCTCTTTCCGTCTGTCTGTCTGGGTACCTGCCGGTGTAGCTCTCTGGCGACTCGTGGGCAGAAACACCGTCTCTCACCCCGTGACAGATGGAGCTGCATCCTAAGCCTTGCGGGGTCTGCTGGTCTCTCGGCCGTGGTGGGGCGGGCGCCCTTGGCTTTGCCCCCTGCTTCAAATGGACACTTGGTCAGACTTGTGTGCAGGCAAGCATGGGCAGGTCTTTTTCAGTGGAGCCGTTAAGACCGCCAAGGGCGGATTGCTTAGACTCCTAGAGTTTCCCAGGAACTTTTAGGGATTGCATCTGACTTCTTTGTCATTGAGTCATTGAGGTGATGATGAGACTTGCCCCAGGTCACAGCGTTTCCCCTGAGGCCCCACAGACATAGGTGTGCGTGCCGCCCTGCAGGGCGTGGTGCTTCTGTGACAGGCCTCTGGTACCTTCCGGGCAAGGTGGTTCTTGAGCTTAAACGAGGACCACGTGGAGAAGCTGCGGAGGCACACGACCCTCACGGAATCTCGTCCTTCCCTCTGCTGCCAGCTCTCACCTCACTCAGCTTTTCCCAAGCCTGCGGTTCTCTCTCCCCAAACCCGTGCCCGTCCCACCCTCTCGGCCAGTTGGAAGCTCATCCCCCTGGCAGCTCTCATGTCTTGTCGCCTGGCCGACCCCAGCCTCCTGTGGAGACTCTGGGCCATCTCCTCTGCCTCCATTTCCAGCCAGGCTTGAGCATAGGCCTGTGGGCCTCGGGGCAGGCGGGTCTCAGAGCCGAGAAGGGGCAGCCCACAGCCTCTGCTTTCTCCTCCTGGACATGTCAGCTTGGGCCCGAACCCACATGCCCTCTCATCTTGGGCTGGACCCACCAGCCTTGAGGGAAGGTTAGTGATGGTCTCTTGGCACCAGAGCGTGGCCTCTGGAGAGTTCACCCTTCCCCTTGTGGTGAGTTCAGGGGTTCAGGTGGATCAGGGGAGACACAGGACCAGGAGGGGCAGTAACAAGTGTTTGGCGGCATTTGGACAGCTCGCTTGAGAGGGAAAGTCCCTCCCGGCAAGGGGCCTTCCAAAGTGATGTGTGACCACCACCCAGAAGGGAGGGAGAGTCCGACAGGGGGCTCATGTAGGTAGTGACGTCACTCGGGAGCATGGTGGGGAGCCTCTGGGTCACAGAACTCTCTTGTTTGAGGTCTTTTATTTTTATTTTTTAAAGATTTTTTATTTGTTTATTTGACAAAGACACAGCAAGAGAGGGAACACAAGCAGGGGGGAGTGGGAGAGGGAGAGGCAGGCTTCCCGCGGAGCAGGGAGCCCGATGCGGAGCTCGATCCCAGGACCCCGGGATCACGACCTGAACCAAAGGCAGACGCCCAACAATGGAGCCACCTGGGCGCCCCTCATTTGAGGCCCCAGGGTTTGTCTGATCTATGGCTAGCAAATGTAGGGTGCAGTTTCGTGGGTGATGTAAAGTCGATGAACTCTAATTAGCTAGAAAGATGTTTATTTAGGGGGTGCCTGGGTGGCTCAGTCGGTTAAGCATCTGACTTTTGATTTCGGCTTGGGTCATGATCTCAGGGTCGTGAGATCGAGCCCCGAGTTGGGTTCCACGCTCAGCAGGGAGTCTGCTCAAGATTCTCTCTGTCTCTCCTCCTGTCCCTTTCCCCACTCACGCACACGTATACTCTCTCTAAAATAAATAAGTAAATCTTTAAAAAAATAAAAAGGTGTTTATCTGAACTGTATTTAAAGCAACCGGATGTGTGAGAGCTTGAGTTTGGTGCTGGGGGCTTCGGGCTAATAATCCTACCTGCTATGCAGACGTGAATAACACAGGGGCCATCTCTGGTTTATGTATATAATACTCCCGATCCCTCAGTCTCTCTCCCTCGGTGGCTTATTAAAGAATTTCTTTCAGCCCTATGTACCCATTGTCCCAAGAGTTCTGGTACATTCTTTTCCCTCAATCTAATTAGATAGTAATGCCTTAGTGCCTGGGTGATGCTCAGGCCTCAGACAGATGGTGCCCCAGGGAGGCTGCCTGCCTGGCTGGACCCTCGCTCTTATCACTTAGCCAGTGTCACTGTGAATCTTCACTGACTGCTGTCCCCAGCGTGGTCCTTCTAAAATCAGAATCTAAAATCCTGATTCTGCCATTGCCTATCTTGGAAGACTTCACTCACCTTCCAGTTAGCAGTGTGTAACCTCTCTGGGGGTAACCGTGTATATTTACAGCAAAGCCCCCACCATCTAGGGGATGGATTATGATGGGTAATTCCATTTTCCAGATCACTGAGACTATGCCTCCTTCGAGCCTTGCTTGTTTGTTTTCAAATTTGATTGCTTTCGGTGCAACTCTTCATCAAATATATTCTTTGTCATCTTAAATAGAAGCTTCTATGAGTACATGGTTTATTTTTTCAAAAGCCTTATTGAGATATAGTTCACACGCTATGCAGCCCGCCCACTGATCTTACTTGTCTCTTCCACCTCCAAGACCGAGCCCGGTGTCGGCAATAGAGCAGGTGTCGTAAATCGTTGTTGGGCTGAGCTGGAACCACACTTCAGATCACCTCTCTTGGAGAAGTTGGGGTCTTCTGCCTGGAAGCAGTGGTGCCCCTCTGTGCCTGATGACATGCCCCAACACCGGAGGGTCCCGGGCTGCTGATGTTTAAATTCCTCACGTGGGTTTTTCGTACTTCTGTTGGTCCTCCCTTCCTTCCTGTGGCCAGCTGCAGTCACTGGGCCTGCCTCCAGCGACACCAGAGCCCCGGGCCACTGCCGCTGCAGCTTGCTGGAATGGCGTATAAACGAGAGCGCCATGCTCTTTACGCTTAGGGGATGCGACACCCTCCCACCGCCCGGCCCTCACTCGTGGGACGACAATCCTTTATTTCCCTGTGGCTGATCAGGGAAGGGAGGAGCAGGACCCCATAAAGAAGGGGTATAAGAAGACATAGCTTCTACAAGATTGCTGAGCAAGCAAGGAAAATGAAGGCTGGAGAGGTGAGGGAATTTGTTCAAGGTCACGCCATGGGCTGCTGGCGGAGTCGAGACCAGGTCTTTCCTCTGTGCTGTTGTGCTCACCAGCCTTTCAGGAAGTGACTCTCCTGCCCTCTCTCTCTCCCTCTCAGGGGTCCTCGGTGAATTTTGTCATGGTTATTTAAGGAACCTCGCCTAGAAGTCCCAATACGCATTTCCCCATCGACGGGAAGGCTTGGACTCCAAGATGATTATAAAGGAATATCGGATTCCTCTGCCCATGACCGTGGAGGAGTACCGCATCGCCCAGCTGTACATGATACAGGTGGGTCTTGGGGCCCGGGCGTGCTCCCCACGCCCTTGGGGGGCAGGGAGGTGGCATCGCGGCCTTGACAGCCCAGTGTCTGCCCAGCAGGCTCCTGGTAAATGTGTGAACTGCATGGCGTTCTGGCTTCCCAGCACGACGCCAGGAACACAGGAGCGCGGTGGGTGTTTGTGGCACTGGGTTGCCTTGTCAGCGCTGCATTTGGTCCTAACACTCTGCATTTAATACCGACCTCTCACGGATTCAGATACTATCTATTCGGTCAGCTTGAGCTGCTATAACAAATACCACAGACTGGGGGCTTAGACAACAGACATTTATTTCTCAGCGTTCTGAAGGCTAGAAGCCCAAGGTCAAGGTGCTGGCAGAGTGGTGTCTGGTGAGGGCCCTCCTCCTGGCTTTGCCTGGATGGCCACCTTCTCACTGAGTTCTTGATGGTAGAAGGGGCCAGGGGGCTCTCCGGGGTCTCTTCTGGGAGGGCACTAGTCCTACTGTGAGGGCTTCATCCTCATGACCTGATCATCTCCCAAAGCCTGACCTAGTACCATCACACTGGAGGTTGGGGGCTTCAACATACGAATCTGGAGGGGACACAAAAATTCAGTCCATTTGACAGACAGGAAGGTGTGAGCCAAAGAAGGTCAGTGACTTGCCTGGGAGCACCTGGCCTATTTTCTGGTTCCCTAGGCTGCCTGCAAGACAGCAGTATCCACCATGTGGCTGATTTGTAGTCACAGATGAGTTTGAGGATGACCGATTCCTATGACAAGCCAGAGGATACCATGCGCCTCCCCTCCACCCCCCACCCAGATGTTGGGGGCCTCCCTACTCAGAGCCTGGCTGACCTGGGACACGGAGTGGGAAGACCCGGGATCGGGTTGCAAGTGGCCCAGATATGACCACGCTCCTACTCGCTGGGGTCCTGCTCCTCAGGGGAGGTCCCCCTCCCCAGCTGCCCTGCCAGCAGCACTGTGCTCATCCTTTGTGCCCCCTTGGCCCGGCCGGGCAGCTTTCCTCCCAGTGAGGAGTCTGATTACGAACCTGCTCTCACCTGGCTCTGCTCTTCTGGGCATACGGGTGCCTCGGTGCCACCCCTAGACCATGGTGTCACATGGGGCCCTTGGTGCAGGGAGAGCCCCGGCCGGCTGGGCTCCACCTCCACCCCTGGAACTGCTCGGTGGGTGCACACCCATCCACCTGGGTCTAGGGAGTTAGTAACGAGCTCCCTGCAGAGCCCAGACCCCTAGTCCCTTCTGGAAGGAGCCCCATGAAGCTATCAGAGTTTGAGCAGCAACCCCCCAGCATGGGGAGCTTGAGTAGGAAGAGAATGGGAGGTGAACCAGCCTCTCTGGGGGACTGTTGGCTCCCCCTGCTTCAGAAGTGCCACTCGGTTCCCTCTTGAACCGCTCACCCCGTAACTATTCCTAGAGAGCGGGGGGAGGAGAAGCGACTCACCTCGGCCCCCCAGCTCTGAGCTATCTGGAAATTGCTCAGCCTGTTCAAGGATGCTGTTCATCCTGCGGCCCCCCAGTTCCCACCCAAGCCAGGGGGGCCCAGACCGTGGCAGGCCTCCCCCCAGCTTCACCATGCCTGCCAGCTGGCGGGGGTGGGCCTCAGGATCCAGGGGCTCACTTTTAGCTCCTAGGATATCCCACAGCTTTTTGGAGCATGTGAACACCTCTGACTGGGCTCCTCAGAAGCACCTGCCATCCTCAACCCCTTTTTTTGAGGTATTTTGTTCTTTTCAAAACATCTATCCTTACGCTTCCAATTAACGTTCAATATCCTGTAGCCCCCCCTACGTGATCCCTCCTATGGGCCTGGGGCTGCCTGTGAGTGTTCGCTCATCGGAGCCCCACTGACACCTGTCTGTCTCTCCAGGCGACCTTCCTCTGCTCCTGCTTTGGCACTGTCTTACCTACCACTGGCCCCTGAACTCCTGGGGGCGCCATCCACCATGGGGGGTGATGGACGAGCATATTGTCTCCATTGTGTGACAGTTTCACGTGTGCAAACATGCATCCCAGCTCACCAGCTGCATCTTTACATATATGTGGTTGGCTGTGTGCCAATCATATCTCAGTAAAGCTGTTAAAACACTAAGTCAAATGCAGACTTTTCTGGGCCCAGCCTGGGCGGAGGGCTGGGTTACTGAGAAGAATGGAAAGAGCTTCCTGCTCTCCAGGAGTGCCATCGGGGAGGTGGATGTGCGTGCAGCTTACCGAATGTAGGCCAGGAGACAGGGCGCGGATGTTCACGGGGGCCTCGGGCCAGCGGCCCCGGGAGAGCCTCCACTATGAGCTGGGCCTCACACGGTGGATAGGCCCTCAAGGAAGACAGCTGTGTTTCTGTGGAAAGAAGAGGAAATTTAGTTTCTTTGCTCCTGCCCAGCTTACTGGCTGGGGTGGCCGCTAGCAACGGGTCTGCCTTCTGAACTCACCACCTCCTCCATGGGCTCGTGAGCGAGGTGGGATGAGCTCACGTGTCAAACTGCTTCATGCTGTGCCTGACCAGCGCTCAGTATACATGCTGTTCAAGGCAACAACAACAAAAAGAAGAAGAAGGAAAGAAGAAGAGTTGTTCTGGCTGGGAGAGAGCCTTCCATCACCCGTGGAGGTGCTCAGCAGATGCTTGCCTTGGAGGGAGTGACTGGAGGTGGCTTAGCCAGGACCCTGGACAGCTCCAAGAGCGGCTCCTTGGGAGGGGGCCTTTGAGTCCTTCATCCCGTGCTTTTTCTGCCCAGGCCCATGGTGGCTCAGGTCCCTCCCATGCAGCCCCCAGATCCCACAGGATGGGGGAAGGGGGAGTTCCCCACTCAGCCTGTGTGGGCAGGGGTCATGAGTCAGGCCTCCCCCTGGGCACATGTGTGCCCCTGGGGAGCTGGGCTTGTCTCTGCTGCCTTTCTGCAGTCTCCCTGGGAGGCTCCACAGCGCAGCTTGTGGGAATGGTTGGCAAGGGTGGGGCCGGTGTGGGCAGAGAAGGTCAGCACGATTCGAGAAGAGCTTGCTCCTCTGTGGCATGACTGAGAGCCTCAGCTGAGCAGGGGACTGGGCACCCCCGGATGCCATTGCCAGAGGGGAGCCCAAGGGTCAGCCCTTTGGGATGTTAGCTCCAAAGTTGGAGGAGGTGCCCAGGCTCAGAGGGAACCAGTGATAGTTGAGACCAGGACCCATTTGTTCATCCAGCTGATCTTTACTGTGCAGGCGGGGAAGTGCTTTGCAGGGAGTACAGACGCACTCCCGGTCTGGGTCCCCGCGGCTCTGCCACTGCTCACTGGGGCCCGTGTGGCCCCAAATGGCCTGTGTTATCCATCTCCCATGAGTGACTTGTGTCCCCCCAAATTCACATCCACCCAGAACCTTAGACTGTGACCTTATTTTGAAGCAGGGTCTTTGCAGAGGTAATTAGTTAAGGACCTTGAGATGAGATCATCTTGGATTGAGAGTGGGCCCTAAATCTAATAACTGTTGTCCCTATAGGAAGAGGAGAAGACAGAGAAAAGGTGAAGGTCATGTGACGGTGGAGGCAGAGAGCAGAGTGATGTGGCCACAAGCCTAAGAATGCCTGGGGCCCCTGGACTGGAGGAGGCAAGGCAGGGTCCTCCCCTAGAGCCTCCAGAGGGAGCTTCTGGGATGGACATGCTGGCTTTCTTGGGCAAGGAGTCTGAGGACAACTCAGGCTCAGGTCACCCGAATGGGCAGAGGCTTCTGTGCAGCCCTACGGAGGCCGATAGGACCCTCCCCACCCCTGCACCCTATCCCCTGTCTCTTCTCCACCGTTGGCTCCCCGGCAGGCTGGGCACCCCACTTCAGCCCTCGGACACTCCATGTAGCCCTAGCTCCTCTGACCTGCATGTCCCCTTCTCACCGAGCCACCCCGAATCCCAGATGTGTTTGTTTCCTGGGGCCGCCATAATAAAGCACCACAAACTGGGGGGCTTAAAGCCACAGAAATGTGTTCTCTCACAGTTTGGAAGCCAGAAGTCCAAAATCAAGGTGTCAGCAGGGTTTGCTCCCACTGAAGGCTCTAGGGGAGGATCCTGCCCTGCCTCCTCCAGCCTCTGAGGGCTGCCGGGGTTCCTTGGCTTACAGCTGCATCCCTCCCATCTGTGCTTCTGTCTTCACTTCTTATAAGGACATTGTAGGACATGGATTGGATGTAGGACCATAGATTGGATGTAGAATTTTGGAAACTGACACCAGAGAGAAGTGACTCGTCCAGGATGAGAGGGAGCTGGTCACAGAGTTGGGACTAGAATGCACGTCTTTGCTCAATAAAAAATCGGGTACCTGCCTTGTGCCAAGGTGTTTTCATGCTGTGGGCTGAGCAGGCCCCAGAGTCAAACAGATCTCGAGTTCTGGCCCGGCTCCGCCACCTGGAAAATGTGTACCTCAAACAAGTCACTCCAGCTCTCTTAGCCCCTGCCTTCGCATCTGCAAACTGGGGACAGGAGCATACTGCACCTTTCTCAAGGGGTTGTTGCAATCACGAAAGGAGAAGTACATGGAAAGAAAGCAACAAATGAAGCTACCGCAAGAGGCAGGAGCTCACAGTGTCTGGGGCACAGTTGCTGCTTTCATTCCAGAACCTGGGCCACATTCCAGGGGCTCCTTTAAAGAGTGAGGGATGGTGCGTCCCCGCGGACCCCATCTGTGCCCTCTACCGGGGTCTTTCCTATTTTTTTTCTGAAGGGGAGTCAGCTGCTCTGGGCCCCAGAGATATAGCACATCTTCGTGCCGTAGGGGTGAGGCCGTGCTCTTGGGAGTGCCTGTGCGTGTGTGTGCATGGGTGTGCACATGTGCACACCTGCTGTTCGGGAAGCTGACCAAAGATGGCCTCGGCGATGGCGTCATGTCACCGTGGAAACAGATGCCGGGCTTAAAGTCACTGGGGCCTTGACCACGAGGCTTTCTGCATAAGCAGAAACCTGAGCTTTTGGACACTGGGAAGAACATTTGTGGCAGAGAGACACTCAGAGGTGACCCAGGCATTGTCCCTCTCAGGCGGCGCCGCTGAGGCCCCTTCCCGCACCCCGTGTTCGAGCTCTCTGAAACCCTAGTGAGTACAGACGCAGAGTTGGTTTCTGTTTGTGTGTTCTATACCAGCTTGATTGAGATGGAAGTGGCATACCACATAATCCGCACATTTAAAGCGTACAGTTTAGGGGTTTTTAGCAAATTCATAGAGTTGTCAAACCGTCACCACGATTTTAGAGCATTGTCATCACCCCAAAGAAGAAGTCACTCTCCGTCCCCCCACCCCATCCCCAGGCAACCAGTAATCTGCTTTCTGTCTCTATGGATTTGCCTGTTCTAGAAATTCCTTATCAGTGGGTTTGGACGCTATGTGGCCTTTCGGGTCGGGCTTCTTACACGTTGTTTTCAAGGCTCATCCACGTTGTGGCAGGTGGCAGCACCTCCTTCCTTCTTATGGCTGAATCATAGTGCATTGTGTGGATATAACTTGTTTATCCATTCTTCAGATCACGGACATTTGGGTTGTTTCCACCGTTTGGCTCTCGTGAATAATGCCGCTGTGAACATTCGTGTACAAGTTTCTGTGTGGAAATATTTTCCTTTTCCTGGATGTATACCTAGCCCTGGAATGGCTGGGTCATATGGCAATTCTATGCTGAGCTTTTTTGAAGAACTGCCAAACTATTTTCCACAGCAGCTGTACTGTTTTCTATTCCCATGAGCAGTGCGGGGGGTGGGGGATCCAGTTTCTCCACATCCTCACCAACACTTGCTATTGTCTGTCTTTTTAGCCATCCTACTGGGTCAGGATTGGTATCTCGTTGTAGTTTTGATTTGCATCTCCCTAATGATTAGTGACGTTGAGCATCTTTTCATGTGCTTGTTGACCATTTATATACTTCTTTGGAGAAATGTCTATTCAAGTCCTTTGGCATTTTTAAATTGGGTTGCTTCTTTGTTGTTGAGTTGTAATAGTTCTTTAATATTTTAGATACATTATTATCAGATATTATCAGATATATTATTTACAAGAATTTTATCCCATTCTGTGGGTTGTCCTTTTACTCCCTCCATAATGTCCTTTGATGCACAAAAGTTTAAAAATTTTTATAAAGTCCAATTTATCTGTTTTTTGTTTGGTTGCTTATACGTTGGGTACCATATTTTAAAAACCATTGTCACATCCAAGGTCATGAAGATTTACTCCTATGTTTTCTTCTAAGAGTTGTATAGCTTAAGCTCTTACATTTAGGTCTTTGATCCATTTTGAGTCAGTCTTTTTTTTTTTTAAGATTTTATTTATTTATTTGACAGACACAGCGAGAGAGGGAACACAAGCAGGGGGAGTGGGAGAGGGAGAAGCAGGCTTCCCGCTGAGCAGGGAGCCCGATGCGGGGCTCGATCCCAGGACCCTGGGATCATGACCTGAGCCGAAGGCAGACGCTTAACGACCGAGCCACCCAGGTGGCCCTGAGTCAGTCCTTATATGTGATGTGAGGTAGGGATCCAACTTCATTGTTTTGCATGTGGATATGCAAATTGTCCCAGCAATATACTGGGATGTGTTGAAAAGACTTCTTTCCCTCACTGAAAGATCTCAGCACTCTGGTTGAAAATCAGTGCATTTAGTATATAGATATATGGGTTTATTTCTAGACTCTTGACCCTTTTCTTTGGATCTATCCTATGCCAATGCTACATTGTTTTGGTTACTGTAGTTTTGTAGCAAGATTTTATGTAGGAAAGTGTAAATGCTCCAACTATGCTTTGTTTTGTTTTCAAGATTGTTTTGGCTCTTTGAGCTCCTTCACTGATCCTTCCTGGTTTTAGGATCAGTTTTTCCATTTCTACCAAAAAGGCCACTGGGAATTTTGACAGGGATTGCATTGGATCTTTAGATTGCTTTGGGGAATATTGACATCTTAACAATGTTAAATCTCCCAATGCATGAACATGGCTGTCTTTCCATTTATTTAGATCTTTATTTTCTTTTGGCAGTGTTTTATAGTTTTAGCATGTAAGTGTTTCACCACCTTGTTAAATTTATCCAAGGTATTTTATTCTTTTGAGTGCTCTTGTCAATGGAAATGGTTTCTTAATTTCCTTTCTGCACTGCTTATTTTTGTGTATGGATTTTGCATCCTGCAACTTTGCTGATTTCATTTATTATGTCTAACAGGGTTGGGGGATTCTTTAGGATTTTCTGTATTTGGGATTTTGTCATTGGCAGATTGAAATTGCTTTACTTGCTCTTTTCCAATTTGAGTGCCTCTGATCATTCCTTTTTCTTGACTAATTTCTTGGGCTAGACCCTGCAGTACAGTGTTGAATAGAAGGAAGAGAGCAGGCATCCTCGTCTGGTTTCTGATCTTGAGAGCCCTGTCAGTCCTGGGACCGATGGGGGTCAAAGGGAGGACTGTGCACTTGCAGAGCTGGAGCTCGGAGGGAAATCAACCCCTGCTCAGTCTCCTGTAGGAGTGCTGGGAGGGGGGTGGAGTCTGGGTCTGGATTTGGGGGTCCAGAAGTGACACAGGAAAAGCCAGCCTGGTTGGCCAACGCCCTTCCTCCTCTCATCGCCCCTTGGCCTGGTCTCCTCGGCCCCTTCCCTTCTGCAGAGTGCTCTGGCCCCAACCCATCACAAGCACTTTTGTCCCCGCAGAAGAAGAGCCGGAACGAGACATATGGCGAGGGCAGCGGCGTGGAGATCTTGGAGAACCGGCCATACACAGACGGCCCCGGCGGCTCTGGGCAATACACACACAAGGTGTACCATGTGGGCATGCACATCCCCAGCTGGTTCCGCTCCATCCTGCCCAAGGCGGCCCTGAGGGTGGTTGAGGAGTCTTGGAACGCCTACCCCTACACCCGAACCAGGTGGGCCTTTCCCCACACCCCGAGCTGTTGGGCAGGGAAGGAACCCTGGGGGTGGCCCCCTAGGCAGGCTCACCCTCCACACTCCAAGGAGCCCAGGCTCCTGGAGAGCTGAGCCTCTGTTCCAGGAGCCTCTGTCCTCAGGGATCAGGCAAGAGAGGGGCGCGGGTCAACACCTAGATACCTCTCCACCTGCCCCAGGAAGGCCGGGAAGGCACGAGGCAAGCGAGGGTCACCTGAGACCCCTTTGCCCTCTGGGAAGGCTCAGGGAATACAAACCCCTGTTAATAATCACCTGACAATGGGGGACCATTAACCGACCATCTGGGAAGAAACATGAACCAAGGATAGACCAGATGGCCCAGAGATTCCCTCCAACCCTGAGACCTTCAGCACCTGTGACATTGTTTTATTATATTCCACTTTGAATGGGGCTTTCTTTGGATTCCCAAAGAAAGGAGGCTCTTCACTCCATGCCCCCACCCTCACCCGTCCAGGGTAGCTGAGTAGAACAGACGGGGGCTGCTCTCAGCTGGCCACCCACAGCTGTATAGGTGGGGGTCCCCGTGAGTCACCCCCCACTGGGTGAGGACCTGGGCTTGTCAGAGGATCTACTGAGGTTATTTCTCTTCCCAGAGGCACTTTCCTCCTGTGAGCTCATCTCCAGCCAAGAGAGAGGGGCTGTTGCCTTGTTGCCAGACCTGGTGGCTCGGGGGTGGGGGGTTTGGGATGTGACATGTCACAGAGTGCTAGTCTGGATTCTTGTGGCATGTCTGTGTGTGCCTGTGTCCCTACCGTGCCTTACACATGTGGACGATGGCCACAGGGTCTCTGGCAGCTTCCTATAATGTCTCCCTCTTCCCCCTAAACACTTCCCCCCCTCCCCACAGCCTGGCCTTGGCAGTTCTCGGGACAAGGGGAGGGTTCCCGAGGTGGCCAGGACAGGCGAATCTCGGCCACCACTCCAGCCCTTTCTGCCTCTCGTGCCCAGTGGGGTCCAGCAGGCCCTGACCCAGCCCTGCAAGCCACCGGTCCTGACGTGTGCTTTCCTTCCGTACACAGGTTCACTTGCCCCTTTGTGGAGAAATTCTCCATTGACATAGAAACCTTTTATAAAACGGATGCTGGAGAAAACCCGAATGTGTTCAGCTTGTCTCCTGTGGAGAAGAACCAGCTGACAATCGGTAACCACTACCACAGCCCTCCCACCCCGGGGAGGGCCAGAGCCCCATAGGGCCACTTCCTGGCTCTTCCTGCCTACGTGACCTGGTCTCTGGGCCTGGCAGGCTCCAGGCTGGCTCCTGTCCTAGGCGGGGAGGTCAGAGTCCAAGCAAGCACTGGGCACTGGGGGAGGCAGGACCAGCCTCCTTGGCCCCATGTTCCTGAAGTGCACACCAACACTGGGTGCCTTCCCCACTCAAGCCCCTTCCCTCCACCCCTTCAAGGGATCCCCCTCCCCGGAGTGCAGACGTGTGCTCAGGGGGGTGGGGGTGGGGGGACCTCAGGCTGACTGTCGAACCTGAGTGCAGTGGGCTTGGGGGGGCTGTGTCCCCTTGATGGTAGGTGGTCTCTGCTCCGCTGCCCTCCACCTCACTCTGTCATGAGGAGACAGCCCTGTGTGTTCAATCTTTTTTAAGAGAGGCCAGAAATCAGGATTTGCATGTGAAATCTTCTAGTTCCTAAATAAACGTATGCTGGCCACACAGACCACATCTGTAGGCCCCCTGCAGCCCAGCAGCCCCTGGTCTGCAACCTATGGGTTCCAGGCCCTATAGCGCGAGCCGCCATGGGGGCGCTGCCGGCAGGTGCGCGACCCGTGTTGGACAGGTGGCTGCCAGGGCCCCGGGATCACGCTCTCAGGCAGCCTCTGAGGGGCAGGAAGGGCTTTTCCCTGGGCGCCCTCACCCGGCCCCCTCCCTCCTGCTGGAGTTTTCAGGCCCCACCAGGGTTCTAGAGCTATGTTAGTCTACCCAGGCTGCCACAACCAAGGACCACAGACGGGGACTTAAACACAGATGCGCATGGTCTCACGGTCTAGAGGCCAGAAGTAGGGCTGTCTCCTGGGGTCACTGAGGGAGAATCTGTTCTGGGCCCTGCCCCTAGCTTCTGGTGGCTGCTGGTGATCTCTGGCATTCCTTGGCTTGGAAACACATCGCCCCAGTCTCTCCCTCATCTTCACGTGGCATTCTCCCTATTGCGCTTGTCTGTGTCCGAATTTCCCCTTTTTATAAGTGCATTAGTCATCGTGGAGTAGGGCCTCCTACCCTAATGACCTCATTTTAATTTGATTATGTCTTTAAAGGCCTTATCTCCAAATAAGGTCACATTCTGAGGAACTGGGGGGTCAGGACTCCGACATATGAATGGGGGGCGGGGCAGGGGGCAGGGGGTACACATTCTACCCACAAGAGGAGGGACGGACCCAGCATGATACAGGCCCTCCACCAGCTCAGGCCCGGCCAGCCTCAGACATGGCCTGAGCCCCACGGGCTCCCTCCAGAGGCCACCTGCCATGTCTCCTAAGTCTCTGTAATATGACTTATCCCCACCCCACCCCAGCCCGCCCCTTGCCCCTTGGCCTTTGCCTGCCCACACAGGCCGTGCATGTGGCCTGCTCCAGGAAGGATCTCTGTCCCTGCCGAAGGCCACGGCCCTTGGGCCGCTCCTGACCCCTTGCTGGTTTCAGTGGAGCCCACGTCTGTGTTTGCAAACCACGGCATGGTTCCATGCAGGCCGGCGAGCGGGGAGACGAGACAGCCGGAGCCTGGCCAGGGCCCAGCACCCCCGCCCCCCGTGCCATCATCCCCATACATTCGGGAAAGGGGCTCTCTGAGCCACAAACTCTGTCCTGGGATTTATGTACCCCAGGTGTGTGCCCAGCCCTGTGTAACACCCGCGTGCCTCAGGGGGGGCACAGTGGGAAGAAGCGTGTGCCAAAGAGTAGTGCGGCCCAGGTCCTTCCCAGACTTGCTGCTATTTCTCTCAGCCCCCATCCCACACCCAGCCAGGTCCCACCAGCCCCCAGCCCTATGGCCTCCACTACCCACTCTCAGGACCGGCTCAGGTCCGACACCTCCTGCCGGTCTCCTCTCCTCTGATCGAAGACGGGCTCCTAGCAGCCAGCCTGCCTTAAAGCCACTGTGTAAATATAAGTAGAATATGGGGCCACTTCCCCCACAGCCTGGTGAGAAGAGGTTGCATCGCTGTCCCCTCCCCCATACAGACACTCTGGCGGCTCCCCAAACTCTCGCATCCCGTGCTGCGGGGCCTTCTTGGCTTCACTGCTCTGCTCCTGTAGCTGAAACGCCACTTTCTCTGGGAAGCTCTTCCTGGCCTTCTCTTCCGTTCGCCGCCGCCCGCCGCCACCGCCCTCCTATCCCACATCCCCTGTGGAAATTCATCTCCCCATGCCTCCTCAGCTCTTCACCTGATTAACTGCTTAGAGTCACAGGAGGACACAGGCCCTGAGGTCGGGAGAGCTCAAGGTCAGAGTGGCCCAGAGCAGCATCCCCAGTCCCATGTTCGGCCCTACGGCATATGAGGCCCAGAGGCCTGTGAGGCTTTGCGGGTGGCGGGGACACGGGGAGGGCACTGAAAAGGGAGGGGTGGGGTGGAGGTGGGGCAGAAGTGGCCACTGGCAGGCTCTCCCCACAGACTTCATCGACATTGTCAAGGACCCCGTGCCCCCCAACGAGTATAAGACGGAAGAGGACCCCAAGCTGTTCCGCTCGATCAAGACACAGAGGGGGCCCCTGTCTGACAACTGGATCGAGGAGTACAAACAGCAGGTTTTCCCCATCATGTGTGCCTACAAGCTCTGCAAGGTGGAGTTTCGCTACTGGGGCATGCAGTCCAAGATCGAGAGGTTCATCCATGACACTGGTGAGCTCGCCTGTGCCCGCTGCCTCCCTCTTCATCCAGCTGTGATTCGACGTTTCCCTCTTATTCCTGAAAGACGACCCAAAGCCCATGTGCAGCTTCCCGCAGGGTGTATCTTGACTACTTGCCGGGCGCCTAGAGGTGACAGGCAGTATATGTTGGTTGTCTGCTTAAGAAGCCCCAGAGCACGTCCCCAGACACTCTGGCTTGTGTTCATAGCTTATATATAGTGCCAACCCCCTGAGGGCAGTAGCCCCAGGAGACAGCCTCCCTGCTGCTTACCTGCACCAGGCCCTGACCGCAGCTCCGCCTCCCCCATGGGCTGGGTGTCGTGGGGGCAGAGGGTCTTGGACACCATGGGGTCCTCACACCAATGGGACCAATGGGCCCAACCTGGGGCTCTTCTCTCCCCTAGCACCTCAGCTCCCTACTTGCCCCCCAGGTCATGGCATGAGGTCGGTGCCAAGGGCCTGACCCAGCCCCAGGCTCATGATCCGGGAGTGGCATCTGGGCAGGTATCTTTTGACTCCAAGAATCAGGGTTTGGGTTAGCTGTGAACAGAGCCACACTCTTGATAGTGTGCGTCGCGTGTGTCCTATCAGCTCACAGTGACTGATGAGGATAGCCATGTTACCCCCGCTTGCAGAGGAGGAAGCAGACAGCCCAGGTCTCCCGTCCCAGCTGCCCGAGACCTGAGCTGACATTCTTGCAGCAACGGGCAGGGGCATCGCAGCAGACGGTCTCTTCAGTGTGGGACCCAAGGGTGGCGTGCCTGAGGCCATGGCCCAGGACTTGGGGCGCAGAGACAGTCTTGGCTGAAGGAGAGCGCAGAAGGTCAAGGGATTTAGGAAGGATTGCAGGGGAGGCAGAGTGGCCTGAGCCAGGAGGAAGTGTCACCGGAGACCAGCCCGAGGACATGACATGGCCTGACCACTTGGAAAGCCACTCCACTTTCTCTAGGAAAGTGGAAGATGCATGCCCCGAGATCCAGTGACATCCCTCCCGGGTTTGCCCCCCAGAGAAACTCTTGTACACATTCCAGAATGTTCAGAGCAGCAGATTTGTAAAAGCTAAGTGGACAGACAATGAAAGTGAGCCAAAGACCCAATAGCAAAAGAAGGAATAAACAAAATGGCATTGCAAACAAATAAATACCAGACAGCAAGAAACCTGAAACTCACCCAAAAAAACCCCACAAATGGCAGGAAAAGACATGCAGCATGACGCAGACATGTAAATGTCAGCAACATGCACACCAGCCTAATGTGTCAGGTAGGAAAACACATCTGTGAGCTGCAAAAGGAGAGGAAAGTAAATGAGCCTGGAGCGGGCGGGAGGAGAGGGTGTCCAGGACGGCCATCCCAGGGCTCCCTGCTTCTGGTCGCGTCTGCTCCCTCACTGGGTGGTGTGGATAGGGATGATGCTCTCTTTCTTCTTAATGTTTTCTTAGTGAGCTTTATCGAGGCCTAATTTTGCATACCATACACTTCCCCCCCTTGTAAGAGGACAGTTCTATAAGTGGCAGTATATTCAGAGTCATGCACACGGTTCTAGAACATTCCATCACCCCAGTCTTTTGTTCATGTTCACAGTCACCCCCACGCCCACCCCCAGCCCAAGGCAACCCCCTCTGCCTTCTGTCTCTAAAGTTCTTTTATTATCCTTTATACCTTGAAAGCGATCTCATTTTCATCATTTGACTTGCATGATATATTCTTCTACGTCTTACTTTGTCTTATTTTGCATCTTATTTTATATGTATATATGTTCTATTTGTGAAAAAGGACCAACCCACTTTGAACGGGAACTTGATTTCCATGTGGAAATTCGACAGCAAAAGTGTACTAGACACTGAGGCAGGAGACGGTGGGGGAGTCCTCCTCTAGCTCCCCCTGGGGCAGGAATCCCCCCAAAATTCAGCGTGGGCTTCTGAGCAGCCACGATCCCTCAGGAGGCCACTCTGCTCCAATTATAGAACCTCGTGAGGCCATCTGTGAGCCAGACCCCTCATTTACAGATGGGGAAACTGAGGCACGGGGAGGCAGTGATTTGCCCACAACCACACAATGGGTATAACCTCGGGGTGCCTCCTAGCCCCACGCCCAGCCCTGGGGGCTAACGTCTCTCCTGTCTCCCCCTCCCGCCCCCGCCACCACCTGGGGGCAGGCCTGCGGAAGGTGATGGTGAGGGCCCACCGGCAGGCCTGGTGCTGGCAGGATGAGTGGTATGGGCTGAACATGGAGAACATCCGGGAGCTGGAGAAGGAGGCGCAGCTCATGCTGTCCCGCAAGATGGCCCAGTTCAACGAAGATGACGAGGAGGCTGCAGAGCTGGCCAAGGACGAAGCCAGCCAGGCCCAGGTCCCTGGGGAGACCCCCCAGCCCAGCAGCAGCAGCGGGGAACCCTTGGCAGGCCGGGGACTCAAGAAACAGTGGTCCACATCCTCCAAGTCCTCACGGTCCTCCAAGCGGGGAGGTGAGCCCCGGGGCACATAGCACCCCCTTTCTCCAGGTGGAGGGGGGCTCTACCTTCCACGAGTCTACCCCAGGACAGCCCTCACCCCCATCCACAGCAGCCAGCCCCCTGCCACGGCCAGATAATTCTAACTCCAGACATGGACTCTTGCTTCCCAACCTTGTGGGCCACACCTGTGGGGAGTCAGAACCATTCTGCTGGTAGCCCCCCAGCTCAGAGCGAGCCCACGGTGCCTCCCCCCATAGCAGGTGACCCTGGACTCACCTACAAGGGCCAGGTAAGACAGGCCGGCCATGGGGGAACCCAGCTCCCAGCCTCTCCTGGGGCCCCGAAGCTACAGCTCTGAGGAACCAGGGTTCCCAGGAGGAGAGGGAGTCTGGGTGGGTACCCCCAGCACGCCCAGGAGGGGTCTCTGCTCCTGTGGCAGGAGCCAGGCTGAAGGAGCCTGAAAAACCTTTAGATCCTGAGAAAGGCCTTTTTCGGGAGAACTTTGGCAAAAGTGCTGTGGCTGGTTGGAAAAACCAGGGTATCCTGTGTATGGCCAGGAGTCTCCTCTGCAAATCCAGCTTCCCCACGCCAGGCTGGCCTGTCTCTGTGCTGAAGGGCTCTGTGGATGTATATATGTCGATAACCTTTTATGTCACTCACCTCCTGAGAATACCGCACAGTCCTATCTGCTCTGCTGCAGGAGAATTTCTGGGGCTCCCCGCCGCCGGGCAGACCCCGGGCAAGAGCACAGGAGTGGACCCTGGCCTGCGTGACTGCACGTCCTGGCCTGATACCCAATACCCTCCCAGTCCCTTGTCCTCCCTGGGACACATGCATGTGGGACCTTCTTGAAAGTTCCAGGAGCTTCCACCCCTCCCTTCTCCCTTCTCCCCCGAGCCCTCCTGGCCCTGCTCTGGCCTAGCCCAGCTGGCTGGTCAGTCAGCTTGAGGTTTTGCCTTCCAGCCAGCCCTTCCCGCCACAGCATCTCTGAGTGGAGGATGCAGAGTATCGCCCGGGACTCAGACGAGAGCTCAGACGACGAGTATTTCGACGCTCATGGTAAGTGGCTCTTCCCGGGGGCGGGAGGGAGGATCTGAGAGGGTCAGGGCAGAGGATGAGATGAAATCCCCGGAGTCGAGGGCCTCAGGCTCACCCCGGCCATGGATGTAGGATGGATTCATACTCAGACGGGGCCTTTGTGCCACATTGGGTTTATTTCCATAAGAAGCTTGACATAAGCATGGCATCTTACAATTTTCTAAATCTTTGTAATGACCTTGTTTTGTTCTTGGTTCAATGGTTGTCCATCTCACGTAGGAACCTTAGCAAATGCAAACAATCAGGAAATATGGGAAATGCCCATTTTCCCACCAATCCCAAAATAAGCACAGTGAACATACAGCCTCCTGAATCACCCGCCTTTGCTGGGAAGATGCGGGAACAGTTGACCCTCGAGCAACACGGTTGGAATGGCACAGATCCACGTACATGTGGATTTTTTCTGATAAGTACCGTACCATCAGTGTGTTTTCTTTATGATTTTCTTTTCTCTCTTTTTAAGATTTTATTAATTTATTTGACAGAGAGAGACACAGCGAGAGCAGGAACACAAGCAGGGGGAGTGGGAGAGGGAGAAGCAGGCTTCCCACCGAGCAGGGAGCCCGATGTGGGGCTCGATCCCAGAACCCCGGGATCATGACCTGAGCTGAAGGCAGACGCTTAACGACTGAGCCACCCAGGCGCCCCAACTGAATTTAAATTTTAAAAAAACTTCAAAAAAAGAATCTCAAAGCAGTGTTTTTCAAATTGCCTGAGGCATTAATGGGTCGCAAAATCTATTTTTTCTTAAATGACATAGGTCAGAATAGTTTGTAATAAGTACTTTTTTTTTTAAAGATTTATTTATTTATTTGACAGAGAGAAAGAACACATTACAAGCAGGGGGAGCGGCAGGCAGAGGGAGAGGGAGCAGGGAGCCCAGCGCGGGGCTCCATCCCAGGACCCCGAGATCATGACCCGAGCCGAAGGCAGACGCTTAACGACTGAGCCACCCAGGCGCCCCTCTTTATGATTTTCTTAATGACGTGTTTTCTCTAGCTTATTTTATTGTAAGACTATGGAATATCATATATATGACATACAAAATTCGTGTTAATTGACTCTGTTACCGGTAAGGCTTCTGGTCAACAGAGGCTATTAGTAGTTAAGTTTCTGGGGAATCAAAAGTTTGAAGTGGATTTTCAACTGTGTTGGGGGGTCGGCGCCCCAGCTCCTGTGTTGTTCAAGGGTCAACTTCACTAAAACACTCACATGCTTCCTACCTTGGCTCTTCCTCTCCACCGGCAGACAGGTCTGTGGAGACTGGTTTCCAGCTTGTGGTTGACGAGGCAGGACACAGGCTCGGAGGGGGACAGGGGCTTGCCCATAGACACTGAGCAGGGCCAGGGCAGGCCAGAGCCCCTCACGGGGCAGCCGTGGCCTGGAGCAGGCAGAGGGGCCACCTGATTATGGTATTTTCATTAACTGGCCGGTCCTTGAGGGAGAACTTGGGGAATCAGTGTCCAGGCAAAAGGGATCTGAGCTGGAATGGGTGGTAGGTGGTTCCTGAGCTTCCTTCTGCACCTGGGCCCTCCCCGGGGGGGGACGAAAGGTATTTTGGGCCTCCCACCCATGCCCACCTCTTTGGGCAAGAGGTGCACCCTCTCCTGGCTGTGAGTCCCTGACAGGAGGGAAATGCACATTTAACAGAGAAACTTTAGAAAAAGCTGGAAGAGAGAAGAGTTAGCAAAGCAGGAGATGCCAGCATGAAAGTGGCCGGGGAAGTGCCCTTCAGTGGGATGCGGGGCTGGAGGAGGGACCCGTGCCCGCCAGCGCCCAGACAGCCGCCTCCAACCCAGCAGTACCCCAGGCTGCTGTTCTCAGCAAAGCAGAAACAAGAGTAATGGATGGAAGCGCCCACAGCGAGGCTGTCCATTTGTGGACGTTGAGAACGGTCAGGGACGTTAGCTGATGGGTGGAGAGACAAAACGTGGTCCATCCATACAGTGAAATAGGATTCAGCCGTAGAAAGGAGGGACCATGGACACCTGCCATACCGTGCATGGAGCTTGGCGATGTGGTGCTCGGTGAAAGAAGCCAGACACAAAAGACCACACGTTGTAGGATTCCATTCAGTGAAATGTCCAGAACAGGCAAATCCATAGAGACAGGAAGTGGATCGGTGGCCTCCAGCGGCTGGGGGAGGGGATGGGGATCAACTGCTAAGGGGTACAAGGTGTCCATTCGGGGAGATGGAAATGCTCTGGAACCAGACAGAGGTGGTGGTTGTACAGCGTCGGGAACGTACGAAAGGTCACCTTAAAGGGGTTTAAATGGTGAATTTTATGTTACGTGAAAATTATCACAGTTTTTAGAAAAGGTCAAGCAGAAGCCCCCTGGATGTCGGTCATGGGTTCGTCCTGCTCAGGAAGGGAGGGGCGGAAGCAAGCACGGAGGTGGACACAGGCCAGAGCGGGGGGGGAGCCCCCAGAGTGGCCACAGCGAGGCCCTGCACCTCCCAGCCGGGCCTCCCCGCACTCCTCGGTCCCTGCCCTCCAAGGGTTGCTGAAGCCCTGCTGTCTCCCCGCAGAGGACCTGTCCGACTCAGAGGAAATATTCCCCAAGGACATCACCAAGTGGAACTCCAATGACCTCATGGACAAAATTGAAAGCCCTGAGCCAGAGGATACACAGGGTACCTGAGTTTGGCGGGGGGCTGCTGCAGGGCCTGGGGAGGGGGGCTGCAGGGGCCAAGCCCCTCCTCTCTGACCCAGCTTCTGTGCAGCGCTGGGCATCGGGGAGGAGGGGTGGGAGTACCCACGGCCCCACTAGTCATGGTCACTGCCTCTGTCCTGTGGGCCTGGGGCTGCCCGGCTGCCCCTCTGCTCACAGCACCCCCTGCTTATGTGTTGCAGACGGTCTCTATCGCCAGAGCGCCCCTGAATTCAGAGTGGCCTCCAGTGTGGAGCAGCTGAACATCATCGAGGTGGGTGCCCAGGGGGGCAGAGGGCCAGGGGCTGGGCTGCCGGGGGCCCTCCGGGGCTGCAGGGGGAGGCGGCTGAGCTCAAAGGACGGTTCCCGTGGGGCTGCAGAGGCAGAACTCGGCCACCCACCACCTCACGTCCCCACTGGCCTAGGCGCCATCAGAGAGAGGCCTGGGGGCTCCTTTACTCCCTGCCCCGACGTCCCTGAGAACCAAGAAGGACTGCAGGCGGCCCCCAAAGAAGGCCTTGACCCAGCTCCGCCAGTGGAAAGTGAAAGGAGAAACTTGTAAATTCCAGACCAAAAAACAGATGTTCACCTTGTACCGAGCCTTTCCGCATTTGCTGAAGAAAATAAGATGGGAGGGGAGGAAGCGAAAGTCGTCTAGGCAGAAGTGAGCGGCCGCCACCCCGCTGGGGCCCCACAGGGCTCCCGGTGTCCAATAAAGCTGTCTTGGTAGAGCGCCTATGTCCGCTTCGGGGGTTCTTTGCACGGGGCTCACGCCCCTTCTCCTCCTCCAGCTGTGGGCGGTCAGAGCTGTTTGCACTGGGGGTGGGAGTCAGGGCCAAGCAGGGCTGTCACCCGCTGCGGTCACCGCACGCTCGCGGTCACCACGCCACTCTCACCTCAAGCTGCCCAAGGTGGGGACAGCACCTCTGGGAACTTGGGACCCCTGGGGAGCTTGGGCCAGGTGCCACGGAGGAGGAGCAGCATCCACACCGCCCTCCCCGACTTGGGGTTTTCTACTCTGCGGTCCGGGGTCAACATGGGCTTTTGTAGAAGGCAAACTGGGACAAGGGGAGTTGATTTCCAATTGCCAGTTAATGGCAAGATAAAGCACATGGAGCCCCCTCCCCACCTAGGGCGCACACAGCTCTGACGGCCCCCTCGGGAGGGGCAGAAGGGGCCTCGGGCTCTAGATCTGCCTCAGGATGTGCGTTGGAACCAAGCACCAGTTCTGGGCACGGCCATCCAGAGTCAGATCCCTTGGGTTGCAATAGCCCCCAAACCGGAGCCTCCTCTCCCTGCCTTGTGGAGGGGGTACGGCTTCATGGAGACACTGACGGGGACGCCCAGCTCTCCAGAGCTGGCCTCACGGCTCCCAGGCCCACTGCCACATTGCACCTCCCTCGGGGTCTGTTCCTACAGGGTTTGAGTCTCAGGTTGGTGTGCCCCAGTATTAGGCACCAATGGGAGGAGAGCCATGTCTCCATTTGGCCTCTGGGAGTCCCTGAACAGTCCCAGCCTGCAGTGCTGGGTCCCAGGAGATAGGCTCAGGCCTCTTGTTGCCCACCCTTGCCCGTCCTGGGTTTCTGAGGACCGCTGGACTCCACCTCCCTAACTGGGTGATGGTGAGGCGGCCCTGAGACAGGCCTTCCTTGAGCGCCTGGCCTGGCTGTGTTGATAAGCCCTTGGGGCAGTGTGGTAGCTCCTTCTGGCGGCTGGGCTGGGTGGCTGGTGGCCCTGCCCTGCGCTGCCCGGGCCGTGAATTCATTCCTGCCCAGGCCGGCCAGTGGCGGGCAATCTCATGTGGGGGCAGGAATCATTCCCACGCTCTGTCGGGCATGTGTTCCTGCCCAGGCCCCGTGGCCCACACCTGGCCAATGACCGGTCTCCTCTTGGGGATGAGGCAGCCCAGTCTTGCCTCGGCTCCAGACCCCGTACCGCCCACCAGCCTGCCTTCCTCGTTCGCTGCTCGGTGGCTCCTGGGCCGGCCCAGTCCCTGTGTTTCCTGGCAGCCTCACCAGCCCCTGGGTCCAGGGCCTGTCCTGTCCACTCCCCGCCTGGGCTCTTTGTTGATACTTGGGTCCACTGCTGCCCCCCACCCCGGACACCCTCCAGTTCAGGGCCGGTTGTCCCCCACACGCCTGGACATAATATAGGCAAGGCGAGTACTCACCAGTGGCTTCTCTTGGGCCCTGGTTCTAGCTCCCACAGTCACACACCAGACGTTAAGGTGGAGAAAGGCCCCTGAGGATGCGGCCACAGCCAGGGTTGGCAGGAGAACACTGAACCGGTGGCAGAAGCTCTGGGTTCCGGGCCAGCTTGGCACCGATGTGCTGTGTGACATTAGATAAGTCTCTCGGCCTCTCTGGGCCACTACCACCTCGACTGTAAATAGAATAGTCCCATACCCCGTGCAAATGTGTACAAGTCTCAGGTCTCACTTTGACCTCACACGCAGGCCTGACCAGCAGGAGGGGATCCTTAACCCCTCCCAAATTAGGGGGCTTCAGACAGGCACACCTGCATTCCCTCTCTGCTCTAAGATGCTTGGAGACCTTGGTCTTTGAGAGAGTCTGGGAATGGCAGCACAGGGGACAGAAGGGAAGCCCCGTGTAGATGGGGGAGAGCTCAGAGCTGCAGGCCCAGTGCCCAGGGTCACTGCCCGCCCAGGCTGAGGCTGCCCTGGGTGCAGACGCATGGAGGGCAGGTAGGCTCCAGAGGCCCACATAGGAGGGGCCAGTGCCTCCTCGCCAAGGCTGGAAGCTGCTGCCTGGGCCCCCTGATGGAAAGTGGAATCTGTGTTTCGGAGGCTCATCCTCAGCCCCTGGTCAGGCTGGCTGATGGGAGGGAGTCAGGGCTTCTTGTGGGGAGGAGGAGAGGGACCATCTCAGCCTCCCCAGGGGAAGGGGCTGGGGTGGCCAACACCAGGCCCTGTAGCTGAGGAACTGAAATGGGGCTTTGGAGAGGGAGCAATGGGCCAGACGGGCCTCCCCTGGGGTGACAGGGGCCCAGCAAGGAGCTGAGTCCCCGGGGAGTTGACACCCCGCCAACCCATGCAGGACGAGGTCAGCCCACCCCTGGCCGCGCCGGCCTCCAAGATCCACGTGCTGCTGCTGGTGCTGCACGGAGGCACCATCCTGGACACGGGTGCTGGGGACCCCAGCTCCAAGCAGGGTGACACCAACACCATCGCCACCGTGTTCGACACCGTCATGCGCGTGCACTACCCCAGTGCCCTGGGCCGCCTTGCCATCCGCCTGGTGCCCTGCCCGCCCATCTGCTCTGATGCCTTTGCCCTAGTCTCCAAGTGAGTGCATAGGACCCAGACCACCTGCCCCAAAGCACCTGGCCCCAGGGGTCAGTCTGCTCCCCTAGAGTCAGGAACCCCGTCTCAATGTCCAGACTTATCATCCAGCCCCTTCTGTCCGGACGCGACCAAAACTTATGCAGATGGCTGGGCTTACAGAGGAGGGGCCCCGGGCCTAAGGCTGAGCCTCAGTTGCCCTATCTGCGATATGGGGATGTAGACCTGCCCCTGAGACACAAGGCCTTACCCGCCCCCCCACCCCCGCCTTGTTACCCAGCCTTCCAGGGCCAGGCCCAGAAGCGACCCCGTGAGGTTGGCCAAGTCACAGCTGAGGCTCTCGGGTGGCAGGCCTGCTGCTGTGGTCGGGGGGAGGGGCCCCTGCCTGCTCTCTCCTGATCGGGCCCCCTCCCCCAGCCTTAGCCCCTACAGCCACGATGAAGGCTGTCTGTCCAGCAGCCAGGACCACATCCCCCTGGCTGCCCTGCCCCTGCTGGCCACGTCCTCACCCCAGTACCAGGAGGCGATCGCCATGGTGATTCAGCGGACCAACCTTGCCTATGGGGACTTCATCAAGTCCCAGGAGGGCATGACCTTCAACGGGCAGGTGAGTCGTGGGGCGGGAGAAGGGCAGACAAGCCCCGCAGGGCAGGGTGGCGACGGCCCTCCCCGGCTGCCGCCCCAGCAAGCGGGAAGGGCATCCGGGCCTCTGGCGCCTCTCCGTCTCTAGGTCTGCCTGATCGGGGACTGCGTCGGGGGCATCCTGGCGTTCGATGCCTTATGCCAGAGCAACCAGCCAGTGTCTGAGAGCCAAAGCAGCAGCCGCCGGGGCAGCGTGGCCAGCGTGCAGGTACCGGCTTCCCGCGGCCCCCAGAGCAAGGGACCTCGGGGGGCCCAGGTTGCAGCACAGGGGCCCAGAGCCGCCGGGGTGGGCGCACGGGGCGGGTGAGCAGCTGCAGCGGGACGGAGCCTGGAGCACATGAGGCTTCGGCGGGCGGTGGAGCAGGGTCTGCACCGTAGGGAGCTGGGCTCTGGTCCCAGGAGGTGGAGCGGGCAGCCCCTCTGAGCTTCCCAGCAGGAGGGGGCCCGGGGTCCCTCCGCTGCAGGGGGGGGGGCAAGGACGGGCAAGGCAGCGAGGTCAGCGAGAGGTCCCAAACACCCGGGTGGCCAGGTCAGGCAGGAACGAACGGAAGCTGTTGGGACTCGGCCAGCGGGCGGGGTGTCGGGGGGACAGTGGGGCCGCGGGGGGACAGGGCTTTCCCCTCTCTGCTGTGGGTGAGAGGCTGGCTGGGCAGAGGCCAGTGGGCCTGGAGTCGGGAGGGAGGACACTGAAGCTGGGCCCAGGCCAGTGGCCACTGGGCAGTGAGCCTGCACGGGGCTGTTCCAGGACACTGACCTGCTGTCCCCCGGCACCCTGGTCAATGCGGCACATGGAGGCAGTGGCGGCGGCGGCCTGGAGAGCAGCCGGCACCTGAGCCGCAGCAACATTGATATCCCCCGAAGCAATGGTGTCGAAGACCCCAAAAGGCAGTTGCCCCGAAAGAGGAGTGACTCATCCACCTACGAGCTGGATACCATCCAGCAGCACCAGGCCTTCCTGTCCAGGTGGGTGGGGCCGGCGGGGCCCCGAGGGTCTGACCATGAGGCCTGTGGCCAGGTGAGGAGGGGGACTCCAAGAGGGGGGGATGCCTCGGAATTGAGGACGTGAACCAGGTCGTGCCAATGGCCGACACGAGGGGACTGGGATGCCCGGGCTGGGCCCGTGGCTCTTTGGCCAGGAGGAAGTGGCTTGTTGGGTGCGTCTGGGGTCTTGTACACACCGAGGGCCATCTTGGGCCCAAGGGAACAGCTTGTCCAGGGGTGGGGGAGAGTTGGGGGGCAGAAGCGATCGGGGCGGCTGTTCTAAAGGCAGTGGCACCCCAAGAGAGGTGTCCCAGTGGGCACTGGGCAGCCACATCTGCAGGAGAGTTCAGGGGCCAAGCCTCGTTTGGACCTGACGACCCCCGGGGGTCTTCCTTTGGGAGGCTGAGGGCAAGCCAGAGCTGAGAAGGGGTGTGGTGTGACCTCACGAGGCCCTCCATCTGCAGCCTCCTTGCCAGCGTGCTGAGGAATGAGCCCAGCTCCCGCCGTTCGAGCAGCTCCACCATGCTGGATGGCACAGGGGCTGTGGGGAAGTTCGACTTTGAGATCGCAGACCTTTTCCTCTTCGGGTGCCCGCTGGGGCTCGTCCTGGCCTTGAGGAAGACCGTCATCCCTGCCCTGGATGGTGAGAGGTCTGCAGGGACAGGGCGGGGCAGGGGGTATATGAACTGGGTGGAGGGTCTCAGTGGACCCCTGTCACAAGGCCATGGCCACATCCCAGGCCCCTTCCTGCATCAGCCTCATTTCTGCCCTCCCCAGCACAGACTCGCTGCTCTCCTTTGCTCCTACTCCAGCAGCTCAGTCTCTGGCCCCCATCTCTTGGCCCCTGCTGTTCCATTTCATCTTCAAGGCACCTCTGGGAGCTGAGGTCCAGAAGGGAAGGGGCTGCCCTGGTATCAGATGGACACAGACAGACCCAATCTCCTGGGCCCAAAGTCTTCCCATAAGGAAGAGATCGGAAGCCAGGCACCCCCAAATCATCCTAGGTGCCTGGCTTCCGGTCCCAGAAGGGCCATGGCCACACTGCTCCAGAGACCCTCCTCAAGGCCACAGGGGCAGGGGGTGTGACATGCCGGCTGAGCAGCCTGTCAGCAGCAGTCCCTGCAAGGTGCCCCTGGGAGCAGCCAGTGTGGCCCAGGGAGCCCTGGCATCCTTACAGGGGCTGTGCGGGGCCCGCATTACATCCGCAGGTTACAGAGGGGCAAACTGAGGCTCAGAGAGGTGTGGACACTCGCCCAAGAGCAAGCCAGAGGTGGCTTATATATAAGCGGACAAAGATGTAGGGACAGTGACGTATGGCAACATCATCTGTAGTCGTGAAACAAGAGAACCGCTGTAAATGTTGGTCCACGGAGGGGGGCTGGTTGACTAAACCCTGGCGCGGCGCCCACGATGGAGGATGCCCGCGGCGGAAGACGGGTTGATGGAACTGGCAGGGCTGACATGAAGGACACCCACGTTTTGGTGTTACATGGGGCTGGAGGAGGGGTTCAAAAGGAAAGCACCTGTTCCTCCGTGTGTTTAAAAAGTGAGACGTCTACTACTGCTCTTTATACTTACGCTCACCCTGTCTCCCCAACAACCATGACGTGCTCGGAGAAGCGGCCCCATCTCACAGCCTAGGGCTCCACTCTGCTCAGTTTAAAACAAATTTGGTTAAGAAGCGGACAGATGCCAAATCCTAGAGACAGGCTTTCGGATGCCCCGCCCCCTCTGCTGTAGACCCCGCCTCCTCAGGGCTCTGCCATCTACCCCCCCCCCCCGCTGCCCCCAGTTTTCCAGCTGCGGCCGGCCTGCCAGCAAGTCTACAACCTCTTCCACCCCGCGGACCCATCCGCCTCCCGCCTGGAGCCGCTGCTGGAGCGGAGATTCCACGCCCTGCCGCCGTTCAGCATCCCCCGCTACCAGCGCTACCCGCTGGGGGACGGCTGCTCCGCGCTGCTGGGTGAGCGGCGCCGGGAGGCCCTGGGGGGGCGCTCCTGCCCCGGGCTCCTCCCGGAAGCTGGGTCCCGGTGTCGCTACGGGGGTGCGTCAGCAAGGGGGGTCCGGGCCTCGCCCCAGGTGCCGGGGCGGGGGGGGGGGGGGGGGGGGCGGGGCAGACTGGGACGAGGATCCCCTCCCCGCCGCCTGAGGCAGAGCTGTGTGGGGGACCCTCGTGGCAGCAGGCGGCCAGGGGGTTCAGAGCAGGGTGCTTGTGTGAGGACTGCTGCCCATCGGCCACTCTTGGCCCTTCCCGGTGGCCCCCAAGCCCCACCCCCACCCTCGAGTGTGTCCTGGCGTCCTGTCCCGTCCTGGTCTTCAAGGAGCCCCACGTGTCCGTGTCGGAGGAGCGCGTCTGGACTGCCCACGCGAGTGTCTGTTCTTGTCCTCTCTGTTCTCTCCCGTCTGCCTCCAGTCGAGACAGTGCAGAGAAACCCCGAGCTGGTCCTGGAGGGTGGGCCCCTGGCCCCTCTCCCCCCAGGGGACGGCTTCCTGGAAACCAGTATCCCCGTTCCCGCGCTCACCTGGCAAGACGGGCCCCGCCCGAGCCCGGGCTGTGCTGAGTGTGTGTAACACCCCCATTCGCGGTGGCATCTGCTTCGCTGGCTGACTGCTGGTCCTCAGGGACTTCCCACGCCCTCCTTGGCCACTTGGAGTCTGTGGGACCGTGGTGTCCCACGGAGACCAGACAGGACAAGTCCTAGGGACCGGGCCCTGGCGCCTCCTCTCTGCACACCGAGAGCCTAGGAGCCCAGAGGGAGGAGCGGCTGTCAGTCCAAAGGCTCCGGCTCTCATTTGTGAGGCTGGGGGCGCAGCCAGCAGACGGGGTGAGGCCTCGAGCCTCAGCCCACCTGCTGCCCAGGAGAAGCTTCCGGTCCCGGTGAGGGGTTGATTCCACTCCTTCCCTGCCTGAGGGGTCCAGGCACCTCATGCACCCCATCTGCACGTGGGTCCTCCAGCTGAGCCCCCACTCTCCCTGCTCTGCCCTGGCCCAGTTGAACCCTCGGCACCTGCCTTTGTCCCCGGACACCCATTCAGGGCTGGCTCCATGTGGCCCACGTGAGGGACACGCGGGGGTGTTGCCTCATGCTCAGTGCCCAGCACTGGGCACCCCCCAGAGACCGCTTCGGGCCCTCCTGTTAGTGCCCCTCAAACCCAGCGACAGTGCGCTGCGGGTCAGGCCCCACTCGGCTGAGCCCGGGAGGCTGGGAGGGCTAGCCGAGATCAGGAGCCGTGTGTGGGTCCGACAGGTGGCCAGGGGGGGCGGGAGCCTGGCCGCCTTGCCTCCCTGCCTACCGTGTCTGTGTCGGTCTGTCTGTCCGTCCCTGCCCCAGCCCTGCCTCCTCGCCCGCCTCGACTCAGTGCCCTGCCCTCTCGGCCCTGAGCAGGCAGGCCTGGCACGCTTGGTCCCATCCTCACTGCCCTGTGCTCAGATGCCACCGCTCACCTGCGGCTGGAGGTGTCGGCCGCGGCTCCAGCCCCCCCCCCGCCCAGGGCATGCTGGGCCCTACCTCCCGCTGCTCAGGGGGCCGGGGGGCCGGGCTGGGGGGCCCTCTCTTACCCACTGGTCTCTGGCCCCTGTCTACCTGCAGCGGACGCGCTCCAGACCCACAACATAGTCTTTCAAGAGCACGCGGCCCCCTCCTCGCCCGGTGCAGCCCCCGCCACCCGAGGCTTCCGCCGAGCCAGTGAGATCAGCATTGCCAGCCAGGTGTCGGGCATGGCCGAGAGCTACACAGTGTCCAGCATCGCCCAGAGTGAGTGCGGCAGTGTCCTGGGCCTGCCCTCCCTGCACCCTGCACCCTGCCCTCCATCCCAGCAGGGGGTCCGCACCAGCCCCTCCCCGGGACAGTCGGCTGTGTCTGGAGACAGCTGGGGAGAGCACTACTGGCATGAGGTGGACGGTGACCGGGTGCTGCTCAATACCTACGGTGGCCCCAAACGTCCAGAGAGGACTCTGGAGGGAGGGAGCCTTCGAAGGGGCTGCCCAGCGGGGCCAAGTCCAGGTGGCAGGCGATGGGCCTGGGAGGAGGGGTCCTAGCCCCAGGGGGGTCGGTGCTCCCTGAGGAGGAAGCCCGCAGAACCGGACAAGCCAGAGGGGCAGCCAAGGGGAGCCTGGGAGGCGGGATCTCATTGTGGCCGCCCCTCTGTGGCCTCCTTCGTGGCTTGGCTCCTCAGAAGCTTCTCAGCAGCTAGAAACGGAGCCCAGGTCACCCCCACTCATTCCCCCAGGGCCAGCTGCCCGCTCCATCCTCCCCGACCATGTGACTGGCTGCCTGTCTGGCTGAGCAGGGCTGCCTGAGCTGCGGCTGGCATGAGCATCCTCCCATGAGGGGCGCTGGGGCGCCCGGCACTCTTCCCCGCATCCTTCCTGGCCTGTGGTGGCAGCCTGCGGGCCCCAGCATGGCTGACCCTGTCCCCGTTGTTCTTGCTTCTCAGAGGCCCCGGCGTCGCTCAGCCATACCCCCAGCGTGAGGCGCCTGTCTCTGCTCGCCCTGCCCCCCCCACCCCCCACTACCCCGGGCCCCCACCCACAGGCCGGGCAGGCGAGCCCCAGCCTGGAGCGGGCCCCCCGCCTCCCTGACTTGGACACCAGAGAAGGTACCGGGCACCACACGGCCTCCATCCACACACGCTCTCCTCCCCTAACTGGCGTCTCTCACCGCTGCCAGGCCCATCTCACCGTCAGGCCCTGCCCGGGGAGGCCTGACCAGGGAGGCCGGAGGCTTGGGCTGGGGAGGAGGCAGAGGGGTTGGAGTTGGCTGGGGGGTCAGGACCAAGAGCCTGTGTGTGCGGCGAGCAGGCTGCGGGCGGAACACAGGGGAGTCCTGACCCCCACCAGGGGCTACGTACAGAGTAGGGGCTGCATGCAGCCATCAAGAAGGCACTTTCTAACCCTTATCTGGAGCTAGGGCGGTTTCCCCAGCCCCGAGTGGGAGCCAGGATTTGCACCCAGGCCTTGACACTTGGCCCGCAGGCTCCCAGGTGCTGAGGGGACATCAGGCCTTGCCTTGGGGTTCACCCCGGCAAAGCCTGTCACGGGCCTGAGGACTGCAGGGCAGATGGGGGGGGACAAGAGAGGCCTGAAGAGGACAGTGACGGGGCCCAGGGCAGGGGGGCGGCAGGATCCGCGACAGGACCAGGGACAGTCCTGCCTCCTAGCCGGGATTGTCCCCTCCCGCTAACTCCACGTGCCCCTTCCTCACGGACTGCATGCTCTCCACGGAGCCTCCCCGCCCTCATCCCCAGGCCTTCGGGCTGCTCGCACGCTATCCCAGAGTCCTGTGCCTTCCCCGCTCCCTTCGGTCACCCGGCCAGGGAGGAGGAGGAGGCTCGCTTTGGCTGCAGCCCTGGTTCCCCCGTCAGAGGAGGGTCTGGTCTTTGGGCTGAGCCAAGCCTGAGGGGCCTGGCACCCTCCGAGGGCAGCCCGGTCAAGGCCCTCCCCCGGCAGTTGCAGCAAGGTGGTGGGGCCAGAAGCGGATCGACTACGCCTTGTACTGCCCCGACGCTCTGACGGCCTTCCCCACCGTGGCCCTGCCCCACCTCTTCCACGCCAGCTACTGGGAGTCAACGGATGTGGTCTCCTTCCTGCTGAGACAGGTACCCGGGGGCCCACCGCCAGGAACCCCCGGGCCTCACATGCGGACCAAGTAATAGCACCACTGACATGGCCCCAGTTCGTAGACAAGGGCAGTGGGGGCTCCCCTGAGACCACAGAGCAAGCAGGATGGAGGAACGCTTGCCGACGTTGGGATGGGGTGAATGTATGCACACGTTCATCAGACATGTGACTTGGGGGACCAGAGAGTGGACTGTAGTGGGTTGAAGAGTGTCCCCCCAACCCTTCACGGTCTCCCATTTCTGGCTCCGAGGGCCACTGGCCTCCCCCTCCTAGAACAGGCAGTCTTGAGATGGCCCCATGGCCTGCTGCTTCCCCTCAGGTCATGAGGCATGACAATTCGAGCATCTTGGAGCTGGATGGCAAGGAGGTTTCGGTGTTCACCCCCTCAAAGCCAAGAGAGAAGTGGCAGCGCAAGAGGACTCATGTGAAGCTTCGGGTGAGGGGGCCCCCCACATCCGCTGTCCTGCTGAATCCTCACAAGACACCCTATTACAGACGAGGAGACCGAGTCACAGAGTCACACGCTGTCTTACTTAATCCTCGGTCTGTAAGGTTGGAGCTGTTACCCCGTTAATAGGCAGGGAGGTGCTCGAAGGCCACGTAGGTCAAGTGGCTGAGACGGACTTGAATCTGGGCCATCCGGTTTTAAGCCCCGTGCTCACCCACCAGGCCCAGGAGATCCTAGCCATCCTTCCCTCCCCTACCCTGACGCAGCCTCGCTCCTCCTGTCCCCAGAACGTGACCGCCAACCACCGGATCAACGATGCAGTCGCGAACGAGGATGGCCCGCAAGTTCTGACGGGCCGGTTCATGTATGGGCCCCTGGACATGGTCACTCTGACTGGGGAGAAGGTGAGGACCTGGGGAGGCTGCAGGAGCTCCTGCCTGGCCTCCCGCTGGCTGGGGAGTGGAGGCTGGGGAGGCCAGCAGCCCCGGCCCCTTCCTGACCAGCTCGCCTGGCCCCCCAGGTGGACGTGCACATCATGATGCAGCCGCCCTCGGGCGAGTGGCTGTACCTGGACACGCTGGTGACCAACAGCAGCGGGCGGGTCTCCTACACCATCCCCGAGACCCACCGCCTGGGTGTGGGCGTCTACCCCATCAAGATGGTGGTCAGGTGAGCCCGCCGCTGGGGAGTGAGCAGGCCAGGCCGGCCACCTCTGGGACAGGAAGGAGGAGGTCTGGCGGGTTCTGATGAGCTCCCCCACCCCGCCGCAGGGGAGACCACACGTTTGCGGACAGCTACATCACCGTGCTGCCCAAGGGCACGGAGTTCGTGGTCTTCAGTATCGACGGCTCCTTTGCTGCCAGTGTGTCCATCATGGGCAGCGACCCCAAAGTGCGGGCCGGGGCCGTGGACGTGGTGCGGTGAGTGACGCCGAAGGGCACTTCGGGCTCGGGGGCGGGAAGCTCCTGGAGGCCAAGCTGGGGAGGGCTTTGGGACACCTGGCAGGGGCTCACGGAGTCCGCACCGCCACCGTCTGGCTGTGTGACCTCTTGATGTGGATGCCTCAGTTCCTCGACCTGAGCAGTGGGGCTCCTGACGAGACCAGTTACACCTGCTGCCGAGGGCATCCACGGGGACTGGGCGACCTGGTGGACTCTCCTCGCCGCGGCTACTGTTTCTGCTGAGCCCGATCAGGACACGCTCTCCAGCGGCCCAAGGAGAGGCTGGCGGGGCGAGGAGACGGGGTGGCCCAGGAGGGAGGCCGGGGCGGCCGTGGGACACCCAGGCCTCCCCGCTTCGCCCCCAGGCACTGGCAGGACCTGGGCTACCTCATCATCTACGTGACGGGCCGGCCCGACATGCAGAAGCAGCGGGTGGTGGCGTGGCTGGCCCAGCACAACTTCCCCCACGGCGTGGTGTCCTTCTGTGACGGCCTGGTGCACGACCCGCTGCGGCACAAGGCCAACTTCCTGAAGCTGCTCATCTCCGAGGTGGGTCCCAGGCGGAAGGGCTCGGCGGGGGGGGCGGGGGCGGGGGCCGTGCCCGTGCCCACGCCAGTCTCACCCGCAGCTGCACCTGCGCGTGCACGCGGCCTACGGCTCCACCAAGGACGTGGCGGTCTACAGCTCCATCAGCCTGTCCCCCATGCAGATCTACATCGTGGGCCGGCCCACCAAGAAGCTGCAGCAGCAGTGCCAGGTGAGCGGGCGAGCCGTGCTGGGCGGCGCGGGCAGGCGGCCCCGAGAGCCCGGCCCGTGACAGCCCCCCCCCCCCCCCGCCCCGCAGTTCATCACGGACGGCTACGCGGCTCACCTGGCCCAGCTCAAGTACAACCACCGGGCGCGGCCGGCCCGCAATGCAGCTACCCGCATGGCGCTGCGGAAAGGCAGCTTCGGCCTGCCGGGCCAGGGCGACTTCCTGCGCTCCCGGAACCACCTGCTCCGCACCATCTCGGCCCAGCCCAGCGGGCCCGGCCACCGGCACGATCGGCCGCAGAGCCAGGCGGACGGCGAGCAGCGGGGACAGCGCAGCATGAGCGTAGCCGCGGGCTGCTGGGGCCGCACCACAACCGGCCGGCCTGAGCCTGGGGCCGCCGCGGGCCCCAAGTAGGACACCGTGAGTGAGGCGCTGTGGTCTCCATGGTGCTAGGCCAGGGCGGCCAGCCCCGCCAGGAGGCCTGGCCTGGGCACGCGATGGCGGCTGGAGACAAGCTTGTCCCAGGGCCTGGCGGAGGACATAGGCCGTGCCACACAGCCCTCCCGGCCCTGCCTCGTGTCCTAGGGTCTGAGGGGTTCCAGCTTGCAGGAAGACCTGTCCCAGGATGACAGAGGGACCAGGACTCCCCACGCGGACTGGCCCGGAAGGCTCTCCTAGACATTTGCCCTGCATTGACCTCCCAGCGTCACGACGACAGGCCTGGGCCCGGGCCCCGCCCGCCACTTCCCATCCACTAGCTCACCCTGACCCCCAGGTCCCCTCCCACTTGGTAGCAGCTCCAACGGGGGACAGCCTGCTTCTTGTTAACTCGAGTTACTCAACTGTCCAACCTCACTGGTTTTGCACTGACTTTTGAGAGTGGAGATCCATTACCATCTCCTGTGGCGACGGACATGCATGAAAAGCCAACATTCGCTGATCTGGGACCTCTTGCCACACAGAAGGCTCCAGGGCGGCAAATCCTCGTGCAAGCAGGAGAGAGAGGCCATATCTTAATTTCTGCAGCTCCGCCTGGCCCGCCAGCGCTGTGGCAGCCCCGGACCCCTGCCTACCTGTCCACTTGCCCCACCTGGAACCCAGTCCAGCGGCGAGGCTGGTGAGGCCCAGAGCCGGCTCCCGAGAAGCCACGCCTCGGGCTCCTGGGCCTGGCCGGGCCGGCCTCCTCTTCCACTCCTCGCCTGCCGTCAGTCAAGGCCACGTGCCTCGGCTCTCCCGTTTCTACACCTTTCTACTTCTCCAATCTGATTTCTATGAGGTTTTTTTAAATGAGCAATCCTTGGCTGCTTCCTTTTCTTAACTCTTTCAGTACCAAGCGCAGCCCCTCCACATGAAAACACCCAGCACTGTGACGGAGTCCAGCCTGGTTCTGGGTCCCAGGGCCCTGCCGCCCCCACCCATGCAGTGGGGCGTGGGGTCCCCGCCTCACCTGACCCCCGTTAATTCCACTGAATTTCTACTCTGGGGTGAGTGGGGCACACACTTAGGTTTTTTTAATGCCAATTCCGTTTTGATGCCGAATCTAAGAAGCCACAACTTGCTTCGTTAGCTTAAGGGCAGGCAGCCATGACACCATTCCCCTCCTGGTAAGGACCGCGCTGTCCTGCACGCTCGGTCCGAGCATCAGCCCTCCCTCCCCAGAAATGACCACGATCTCAGCTGTGGCGCTCGGCTCCGGGCGGCCCTTCTGCTGCTTCTCCACCCTCTACGTAAGGCGGGGGAGGCTGCCTGGCCAGGCTCCGACTCAGAAGCTGCTGCCAACCTGGATATGGCCTCAGGGCCTCATGGGCTGGGACGGGGAGGCACACCGATTGATGTTAACATTCTCCCGTGTGTAGATATGTACAGCCAAAGGGTCATGTAAATGTTCCACGAAAGTGGGTCTATACAGAGTGAGAGCTATTTATTTTGTGCAGAGAAAAATTTCTGGAGGGAGAGGACCTTCAGGGTTTGTTCATATTTAAGATGTAGCTTTTTGGTTTTGTTTCAGGCGTTATGTATAAAGCAATGATTATTTTATGGACCAAGTTTTAATGTAAGTGTTGCAGTGGAAGTGCAATACCTGACCCCCCTCTGTTCCCCGCGGGGGGGAAACTGCTTGGCCTGACAATCACAGCCCGGCGGGGGGCCCCTGTGGCCAGTGCCTCCTCCTCTGTTCGTCCCACCTCACCCCATCTTGCCTACCGCCTCGGTGACCAGCCATCCGGAGAAGCACCTGGAAGAGTCTCAGGCCCGCCTGCAATAAAGGCTGGGCGGCCTGCTGGCCCGGGGAGGCCGTGTGGGCAGTGGGTCCGGCCGCTCCCAGCGGGCAGCTCTCCCAAGCTCCCCACTCCCCGCCCGCCTGCCCAGCTGCCAGCCATGCCAAGGACAACAGCAATAGTCCCCTGGGCCTCTCCCAGCGGCCCTTAGCCATAGATGGTGAGATGGGCAGCCCACCCTCCCCGTTGACGTCTCTCTTCTATATCCAGGTCTGCTTCCTGCCTCCCTAAAGATTCCTTTTGGCACATTCTCTTCTTAAAGAAGCACCAGTTTTTCAGAAACTAAGAGGGAGGGCAGAGTCCTTTAAAAATACCAAAAATGTTTACAGTGTTGGGTGCTGAGCTGCAGGGCTCAGGCCCGACCAGTCGTAACCAAAGGGTGAGGCAGGCCTTGCTGACTGCCACCCCCACCCCAGGCCTGTTAGAGTAGAAGCCTTAGTCCCACTCCCAACCCCGACCCCAGGACTGAGCCTCAGCCCACCACCCCAGATCCAACCACCTGCCTTCTCTTTGATTTCTAAAGAGGGATTCAGCAGAGACCCCACCCCCAACTTTCCCAGCTCGGTCTGAGCTGCCCGCCCACCCGCCCCGTTGCAGTCTTCGAGCCTCGGCCCCTCCTGTCTCTGTCTGGGCCATGTGTGAGCAGTGTCCTGACTCGCCCCATCCGCCCTTGCTACCCCTGCACCTTCGGGCCTGAGTGTGCTCTGTATACAGTGTCATTGTCTGTTACACCAATTAAAGAAGCAGGAAGGCTTCCCTCTGGGTCTCTTTACTGCACCAGCAACCACAGAACACCGGCTGGGGATGGGGGCCTAGGACGGGGGCCCCACCTGTCCTGGAGCTAAAGCTGTGGCAGCGAGAGGGCGTGCTTCCCAGTAAACAACGCCCACTACACTCGCCGTAATAGCGATACAATTACACAAGCCTTACCCTGCCCTGGGCCTCCTTCCAGCCCCTTCCTAGACACGAACCCCGTTCGTCCTCACAGCAACCCAGTGAGGTGGATGCTGAAAGCCTCTGTGCTTTACAGAGCACGTAGCTAGGAATCTGGGCCAGGACTCCCACTCTGGCCGCCTGGCCCCAGCACCAGCACTGTGAACAGATGTCATCTGCAGGAAAGAGCACAGGAAGCAGTCTGCCCCCAAGTCTGAGGGGATCGGGCTTGAGAGCCAAGTCTGGGTTTGGGATGCAGCTGGGGATGAGGGTCAGGGTCTGGTCTAGGCAGGCTGATCTGGGGGGATGAGCAGGGTAAAGGTGGCTGGTGTGGCCTGTGCTCATGACCACCAGGGCACACCCCACCTTTCCCCAAAAACTCCTGGAGCCCTTGTTTTAACTCTGGAAGTTGGGCAGCAACCTTCCCCCCCCATCAGCACAAAATAACAACAAAGTTTCCAACCATGGAACATTTAATATTTGGAAAGTTATGCTCTTTCAGGAGATGGGAGAGCTGATTAGGCCAGTGACCCTGTCCTGCACCCCCTGCATGTGAAAGGAGGCTGGGCCAGAGGCCAGTGCACAGGAGGAAAGGCAAACACCCACTGGGCTTCCTGCTGCCCACCCCGAAGCCACCAACACTTAGCCAGCAGGGCCCTCAGGGTAGCAGCCCAGCTCGCATCTGGAAGGCCAGGCCATCCCCTCGGGTGGCTTGCTAGAGAAGAAAGCGCACAGAAGGGGACACATCAGAAACAGAGCTGGGCGTGGACCCCGGGGAAAGGGGTGACACCAACCTTGTTGATCTCTCTGTGTCGTTCCTTAGTCACGATTTCCTCTAAGACCTCGCCATCTCCCTTAATGAGCCTGGGGGAGGAGGGGAGAGGAGGCTGAGCCTCTGATGCCAGAACAACAGAACCAGAGATGCCAGGCCTCAGGCCCCCACTCCCGTGAGCAGGCGGAATCTAGGCGCTCCCCCCACCCACTCCTGCCCTTGGGACAGTGATAAAGGCAGCTGGGTAGGCTCTGCCACCAGAGCTCTTTGAAGACACTCCTCAAGGCCCTTCCAAACCCTGCAACTGCTTGCTCTGGGCGATAAGGAAGAACAGCCTAAGAAGTCCCATAAATGAGTAACTACTTTTCTCTGGTCTCTGGCTTTTTAGCCCTCCTCCTGAGCATGCAGAGCATGTGGGACTGAGCTTTGCCAAGACTCCCCACCTGGTGCGTCCTGTCTCTGGGTCCACCACCTTGCGGATGATGCTCTGCCGAGCATCCCACTCCTCCTTGGTCATGGGCTTCATGGCCTGGATGCGGGACTTCTGTTCATCCGTCAGGACTGCAAGGGGAGATGGCAGGGAGTTGGCGGCTGGGTCTCAGGGAGGGGACCCTTCCCCTCCTGCACCCCAGGCAGCAGAGTACCTGGGCCATCCTCTTCATCCTCAGCTGATCTGTGCCACTGGTCCAGTGAGGGTCCCGGCAGAGCCTCACCCTGCTGCAGCTTTGCCTTCTCCTTGCCTTTCTTCTTCAGCTTCTTCTTCCTTTTCCTCTTCTTCTTCTTCTTCCTCTTCTTGTCCCTGTGCTTCCCCCGCTTCTTCCGGCTGTCACTGGAGGAAGAGGAGGAGGACGAGGAGGAAGAAGAGCTAGAAGAACTGGAAGAAGAGGAGGAGGAGCTGCTTCGTGGTCTCCTCCGGGCCTTGGGCTTGCTTCTCTCTGTGATGCAGGGAGAAGGTGAGGCTGGCCAGGAGGGTAAGAAGTAGACCTTTATCCCCTTGCTCTGGCCTGTGGCAGGCTTAGAGGGACTACAGAGGGGTGAGGCCGTCCGGGCAGGGCCTTCCGGAGCAGGGATCAGTTCTCTCCGGAGAGGCACTTTCTGGGCTTCACCCAGTCAACTGTCTGACCAGGAGCAGGGCAGCCAGCCCCCAGATCTCAGCTGCAGCTGCACAAAAAGCATCATTACGTGCTCCCTTCAGTCCACACACAATGCGCTGGCCCAGCCTCTCAATCTGAGTGTCTTTCAATCTAGACATCCAGGTCCCGCGCTCTGCACTCCTCTACTGCTCCCCGCGATCTCTCCACAGCCACCCCGGGAGGCCCACTCAGCTGCCTGCAGCTTCCTCCGTAAAGTTCGCACACCCCTTTCCCATTCCCTGCGGTCCTCACCCTCCGCCCCACAGGTGGTGTTGCTGGCCTTGTGGTCCTGGGATCTAGAAGCCAAGCAGCTCCTCGGAGCGTCCTTACTGCTCTTCTTCCTTCTCTTTTCCGACCCTCGGCCCCGGGACCGGCTTCGGCTCTTGGAGCGCTTGCGAGAGCTGACGTGAGCCATAGCGCCGCGGGCTGGAGACTGGGAGACACGCTTCAACTGGGGCTCGCACAACCGGCCCCCAGACTGGGCTCCGAGGGCGGCTCTTCTCGGGGCCTGGCTCTCGGGGGCCCACTGCCCATCACCACCCGGGACAGGGACTGAGGGGGTCCGCGGCCACCTCACGATCCTCCCCCACCCCCGGGGACCCCGGGCCCCGCGCCGACTCCCGGAGCCTCGGCCCCTTTAAGGGCCCGCCCCCGCCCGGCCGCTCCACGCCTGCGCACGGCCCCTCCACGCCCGGACGCTCCGGCGCCCGTAGGAGCCGCCGCGGGCCTCAGCGGCCAGGTGCGTCCCGAACCCCTCCCCGCGCGCTCCTACCCTCCACCCTCGCGCCCTCCGCGGCCTCGCCGCCCTAGGGAAGGTCCCCGCAGCTGCTCCGTCCCCTCCTAACCGCCCATCTGGCGGGACCGTCGGACCCGCACCACGCCTTCGCGTGAGGAAGCGGCGGCGAGGTGACTTCCGGCCGGGGCAGTGCTCCGAGAGGCCGTCCGGCTGGGAAGCGAGGCGCTGCCGCCTTTAGTCCTGAAGCCCCGGGTTCCGTTTGCAGGGCCGCCCCAGAAACGGAGCCTGGCTCTCCGGCCTCCCGAAGAGGGAAGCTGGAGATCCAGGCTTCCGCCCCAGGCGGTCGCGAGGCCGTGCGTGCTCCCGGGCCTCTGCCGCAGCCCTGCGCTCGTCTCCGACCGCTCCTCCGACCTCCAGCCTCCCTGAGTTGCCTGCCGACCTGGTCCTTGCAGCGTCCCCACTTAGCGACAGAGCCAGGGCGGGAGCCCTGTGAGGGAGTGCCCCGAAGGCCTGTGTCCGGAGTGGGCAACTGAGGTTCTGCTGCTGATTCCTCCAGTGTGGAGCGAGGCCTGGTGTTCCAGATCCTCCCACCCTCCCAGGGAAGCCAGAACTCAAGATTTCAGTACGGAAACCCTTGGTTTGCGGATGTACAACCCAAGCCCGGCACAGCCGCACTCCACCCAGTCTGGGAGCTGCCCAGTTGCGAATTTTTCAATAATAATGACAGCAAACACAGAGGGCTGCTGTAAAGCACTTTATGAACGTTAACTCATTTGACTCTCACAACAGCTTTAGGAGATAGGTTCTTTCCAGGAGAGGAAACCAAGGCACAAAGAGGCCCCGTGGCTGCCCCACAGTCACACCACTGGAAGCCGCAGAATCAGAATTTGAACCCAGGCAGTCTAGCTCCAGAGTCCCTGCTCTTAAACCCCGCTGTGCTAAGCACTCATCACCAACTAGAAGTTGCTGTTGGTGGCTCACCCCAATCCCCTTTATAGACAGATGCTCTCCATCCCTGCCGTGGTGTGTGTTCCTGACTCACCTGTACTCTTCTCTGGAAGGTTCCCTTGGTCACTGGGAGCCAACCTGCCCTGGAGATGGTTATCTGGGAAGTTACTGCCACCTCCCCACTCACCCGCCCAGCACAGCCCAGACACACCCTATAGCCTCTCTGACGCAGGGGGCAGACTGCTAGATTCATGCTCCAGAGAGTTCTGCGGGATTGGGCTGAGGCTGGATGCCCTTTGAAATCACATCTTGGCCCAGCTCCTTCCCACCCTGTCCTTCCCTCCCGCCCTTCTCCTGAAGGTTTTCCTTCAACAAACCACCTGCCCAGGAATCCCCATCTCAGGCTCTGGCTCTAACAAACCTGACCCAAGCCCGCCTGTCTGGGAAAAGAATGACGCAGAAGCTGGTGTGTCCTTTTGAACCAAGAAGTACCTGAAGGCTGCAGGGAGTTTATTCCCGTCCCACCCAACCCCAGGAGGCAGAGCCCTGGGCCGCCATGCCACTGCCACCCCCACACGCCCGGCCTGGCTCAAGTCCGAGCGCACACATCCACCGTGGGGGGCTCCTCGCGGGTGAAGCCGTCGCCGAAGCCCTCGTCGTCCACCAGGTCAGGTTTGCCGCAGCACATGGGGCACAGACGGTTACGCACAGCAGAGGCCCGGAGCCAGACGACGAGGCTCCAGCGCTCGCCCGTGCCCAGGGGCCGAGCCCCGTGCAGCTGGCCGCCCCGGTGCAGGATGCCCTGGCCCACCACGGGCTCCACCTCCAGGGGCCTGGCCAGGGCTGAAGGCGCCTGCAGAAAGCGGGGCTCAGGCCTGGGCGCTCCCGGCTGCCCCAGGCCCTGCGCCGTGGGCCACACACACTCACCTGGAAGAGGCCCCCGAAGTACAGGGCGCCCCCCGTGAAGGCCTTGCCAAGGGCCACGTTGAGGGTGAGCTCAGCGTTATCATAGTGGCAGCCGAGCTCGCGGTCCTGGCCTGGCGCGTATTTGACCACGAAGGCCCGGTGGCTGTCGAGCCAGCCCCCACCGCAGTCTGGGTACAGCAGCGCTGTCAGTGGCTGCAGGAAGCGCTCCCGCAGCGGCGTCACCAGCTGCTCATCCAGGCCTAGCTCGTGCAGCAGCACCTGGGAGGGGGGCCCCGGGGGGTCAGCAGGGAAACGGACGGCGCCTCACCCTGGGTCCCTGCGGGAGTCTCTTACCAAGGACACTGTTACTTGCAGATACCAGCTTTGTAATAATCCTACCATGACCTCATTTTACAAATGGGGAGACCAAGCCCCCAACAGGCCCCAACAGCTCTTCTCCAGCCCCGCAGGTACGTCCCCCCAGCCCCCGACGTCCCTGCCTCACCCACCCCGTAATTGTTCATGGTGTTGGGTCTTCCCTTGGGCATGTCTGACTGCTCGAAGTGCTCCAGCTCCTCCAGCAGGGCCTGGCAGAACGGTGCCGTGAGCACTGGCAGCCGATAGATACGCTTCGCCTCTGCAAAGGGAGGGACAGTGTGGGCCTGTGTCCTCGTGGGCTCTGTGAGCCTGAGCATGCCGTGTCACTTCCCTCGGCCTCAGTTTCCTCACCTGTACGATGGGGACAACGTGGGTACTCACCTCTCAGGGCTGTTGTGACCACTAATGACATACTGTGTGGGCAGCAGGAAGGCCTATTCCTGGGCCCCCTCATTTGTCCCTGGAGCCTCTCATCCTGCTTCCACAGGCGCCCACACGTCTAGCCTCTAGACTGCGATGTGAGTTTTGATGAGGCCCAGAGATGGGAAGGGATTAGCCCAATGACACCCAGCAGGCCAGTGATGGAGCCAAGCGGGGATCACAGAGCCAGCCTCAGGCTTTCTCTGCACGGCCCCCCATGAGCCATCAACATTTGCACCCCAACTGAAGTGCCCCTTGGAGCCTCTGTTCCCCACACAGGAAGGCTGAGAAGGGCTGCTCCTTGCTGGACCCTGTTGGGTAGAATCCAGGCTCAGATCAGAAATGCACACAGTTCTTGGCAGATGCACCAACGCCCTGGGGTGCGGGGTTCGTGTGGTCCCCACCCTTTCCACCGACACACAGCCCAGCCCCACCCAGACAACCTTCACACAATCTCCACTGATGGGGAGTGGGTGGCAATGAGGAGGAGTCCCTCCAGGCCAGGAGGGACAGTCTCATTCACATTCCATCCTGTGCCTCACAAGAGAGCACAAGCTTCATGAAGGGAGGAACACTGTACACCTGTGTCCCCACGGGACCTCCAGACCGAGGAATAACAGTAACGGTAAAATAAGGAAACCTTTCCTGAGCGCTGTGCACCCAGCCCATTAGGCACATTACCTCACTTAATCACACTTCAGGAGATGGGTATTACTAGTTCTCTTCTTTCACAGATGGTGACACTGAGGCAGAGGGATTAAGGAACTTGGAAGGACTGGCACTTCCTGCTGGGTTTAGCCAGCGGGAGATCCCAGCAGGAGATCCAAAGGCAGGAGAGACGGGGCATTTCTGAGCTTGGCTTTGTGCCTCTGCTCAGGGCCACAGCAGTTACCTGGCAGCCCCTCTCCCACAACTCCAGTCATGGCAGGTGCCCACTTCTCCAGGTCAAGGGATAGGAACTGTCTCTCCCCAGCCTGCTGTTAGTCCTGGGCTGAGGGATTTGGGGTGGGTCCTTCACCATCATGCACACCTGTCTTAGTTGTCCCTTTGTTAAGTTCTTCAGTCCCCCCCATTTGGGTATGCCAGCTGGTTCACACCTGACACATGCATTGAGTGAGTACCAGCCCTTCCAGCTGGATCTTGGAGGCAGACATGGTGGAGGGACCCCAGTCTCCCACCCCCTAGTCCTAGTCCTACTAGGTGATGGGGCCAAGACCTCACCAGACACCGTCTCCAGCCGCTGGAGAAGGCCTTCAAGGTCTGCACCCGGTGATGTGCTGTACTCAGTTGCAGCCAAAAACTCGGGGGCCAGAGCCTCATCCTGGGGGCAGAACACACTAACTGTGAGGCAGACAGGCCCCAAGCCTGGATGCCTCCAGCTTCTTCCAGTAACCTGCCCTGCCAGGTACCTGCAGCGTGTTGTAGACATCAGGCCGCGCTGGGTGGTAGGAGCTTGAGATGAGGGCTTTCCTGGCAGCCGACTCCTGCCCCAGCCGCTGCCGTCGCTCCACCTCCTGCTCAAGCTGGGTGGCACAGGGCCTAGTTACCAAGATGGGGCCTCATATCCGCCCCCCCCCCAGAAGGTCACTGTACAGAGGAGGAAACAGGCTCAGGAAGGGAGCAGGAGCAGGGCCTGGGTTGAGAGCCAAGTCTCCCTACACACCTGATTTTATCAGGGTAAATGCAGGTGCCAAGCTATTCGCTGAAGGCAACTCCATCCCACTCTGGGTTGCACCATTCAGAGTCTGGCTGGGATGGGAACCCCTGGACATGCCCAACTAGCTGGGCCGCTGAGGGAGGGGAATGGAATCCCAGCCAAGTCTTGTGTTCCAGAGGCTGCAGACGGCTCGCCTAGGAAGCTTCCCCTTACTCACCCCCAGGTGGGGAAGGAGACAGGAGATGCCAGCAGCCCTGGCACCAGCCAAAGGGCAGTGGGTGAAGACCTGAAGAGGCTGGAGCCCAGCTGCCCTGGGTGGGATCTCAACTCCACCTGCTGTGAAGCCTTAGGCAAGTGTCTTAAGAGGGTGTAAGGCAGACAACTTGGCATTTTCCACTTTCTCTTTTTCTGGTGCCAGGCCCCAGGTGCTGCAGTGAGGGGGCACAGGAAGAGGGCAAGGGGAGGTCTAAGGAGCCGTTCAGGGAGCTGGGACTGGCAGGCCTACGGCTGGGAAGCCCCCCCAAACTGCTGGCACCAATCTAAAGAGGAAGGGCTAGGCTGGGTGTGGAGGGGGCAGTGGAGGGTGGGGAGTGTTACCTCTCCTAACAGCTGCTGGAAGTCCTTGGGGCTGACACACCCTCGGCTGCGCAGGATCTGAGAGCAGAAAATCCAGTGAGCAAGTCACTTAACGTCTCTGGGCCTCAGTTTCCCCTCGCTGAGATGGAGATGAGAGCCCCGACCTGACGGGGTCATCGTGAGGATGAAATTCGGTAAGCACGCTAAGCAGAGGGCATCCCCGCGCCGGGCCCTGCCCGACGCACTTTACATGGACGTTTACTCACTCGTTCCTTACGACCGCCTCACTAAGGAGATACTACTGTCCCCACTTAAGGTGAAAAAACCGAGGCACCCAGAAATCATGTCCTCCTTGCTGTCAGATCGGAGCACCCGGGCAAAGCGAACGGCCTGCCCGCCCATTTCTCCGCAGAGCCAGTGTTGGCCACTCACCGGGCCGTAGTCCCGGCGCAGCTGCTGCTCGCCCCGGAAGCGCACGTGGAGCCCGTAGCGCGCCACGTACAAGTTCTCGGAGCAGAAGCAGGCGCAGCGGCAGAAGCGCCGCGGGGCCCCAGCCGTCGCCATGGTGAAGGGGCGCGCGCCGCCCCGCCGGCTTCCGCAGGAGCACTTCCGGCGCGCCCCCCGCCGAGCCGGGGCCCGGTGTGGCCCCAGCGGCAAGGGTCCGTCCCAAGTTCCCGAGCGCAGAGGAGAACGAAGACTCCGCCCCAGACAACGGTCCGCGGTGGGCAGAGACGCTCCCGGGCCGCGGGTGGGGCGGACGGCCTCGGCTGAGAGCGTGTGGTCTTCTCGGCCGCCTCACAGTTTCCCCATCCACGAGGCGGGGACTAATCGCCCCTTTACAGATGGGCAAACTGAGCCACACCCTCACAGGCCGGGGACAAGTTGGACTTGGAACCCCCAAGGCCTTTTGCTTAAGTGCCACCTCCCTTTTCTGCTCGGAGCTCTTTGAAGAGGCAGCCAACGGCAGGAGGACAGTTGGAGGAGCTCTGGGGTCCGATCTCTCCAACTAGCAGCTAGCCGGTTCTGTGCGTCTGAGCTTGGGCTTAGCCTTCTTCCCCGGTCCCTGTCCGGCACTCTCCGAGCCTCCGCCGCGGGCTCGGGATTCGCGGCTGAGTGCCCCGGGGCAGTGTCCACACGAAAACGCTCCGTCCGGCGTGACTTCCGGTGGCTGGGCCGAAGGATTCGGGTGTGGGCGGGGAACGGGGTGTGGTCTGTTGACGGCCACACCCCGCACGGCGCGGTCCATGTTCTGCACAGCCGCAGTGTGAGCTGAGTATGTTTCTTTCAGAGCGTGCTCCCGGACATCGGGGAGACCCATCGTAGCTCCTAGGTCCCTTGCCGCGGGGCCCCCCACCTTGGTCCGCCATGCACCCCGCAGGTCCAGGTCTGCAAAGCCCCGGGAGGAAGCTTGGACCTCATGCTGAGATGGGGAAAACTAAGGCTGGGAGTAGGGGATGAAGTCCTGTTCCCTGCCCCCAGAATTCCGTCCCTGGCTCAGTGTGGTGCGAGGATGGGGGTGGGGAGGAAGGCTGGGGCCTCAAGACTCCAGCTCTTAGCCCGGATACACAGTGACAACGAATGGTAACTCCTGTTGGCCGACTTTCACCTTCTGTCCTTTCATCCATACAGCAAAGCTTTGAGCGAGGTAGTATGTCACTCATGTTACAGATGGAGAAACAGGCTCAGAGAGGGGCGGCGACCTGCCTGCCCCAGGGTTCACCGCAACAGGGGTTCTCTGAGGGGTTGGATTATGAGGGATTTCGGATTTTCTCTTTGTGGTTGTTAGCATTTATTTTCTTGATGCTTTCCTCCCTCCCCTCCCCCGTGTATGCACGGGTTTACACGCATTCACATTCGCAGTGAAACACGTACACACTCAAACACACCCTTCTGTGCTCACACACATGCACCCCCCATCACAAGTATGCTCATACCATTGACACACTCACACCCACTCATACACACTTCACATACAGACACAGCCACACACTCATCCTCACACACCTATCACCCACACTCACACATCCAACACAGTCCCTGGTTCCTCCCAGTTCTGTGGGAAATTAGGCGGCAAGGCCTGCCTGTGGCTCCTACCGAAGCCCCAGGGCCCCAGAAGGAGGTGGGAGACCCTCACATCCTGTGCGACCATGCCAGGCTGCCCTCTCCAGCTTTCTCCACCAGCATGTCTGAGGGTCCAAGGCTCCTGCCAGCACCTTGAGGGGCTGGGAAAAGGCTTCTGCTCTCAGGAAAAAACCTACACCAACAGCCTGATTGGTTTTCACACTGGCTGGCCAGGGGCAGCAAGACCATCCTGAGTGTGGGAGGTTTGCATGTGAGCATGTGGAAGTGTGTTTTGAGTGACAGATAAGCTCCCTGCCCTTCTGAAGCTCAGTCAAGGTGGGGAAACAGGAGTAAGCAAGGAAATAAATACAAGATCAAGTTATTTTCATTCAGTCGTAAGTGCTGGGAAGACAAGCCAGGTGATGGGATGGTGAGTGCCATGGAGGTGGTCGCTTTAGACCGAATGACCGGAGAAAGCCTCCCAAAGTGACATTTCAGCCTAGCTCCAATGGCTGCAACAAGATCTGGCAGGAAAGAGTTCTAGGCAGGGGAATTAAAAGTGCAAAGCCCCTGCAGTGGGATGAGCTTGCCATGCTTGAAGAGCAGCAAGGCATACAAGAGGGCAAATCCTAGGGGATGAGGACAGAGTGGTCCTCGGGCCAAATCACTGGGCTTAGGAGATCACTGTTGACATTTTGGATTTTACTCTACATGTGAAGGGAAGCTGCCAAATCCTCACAACAAACTGTATGAGGTAGGAGTTGTCCCCATTTTACAGAGGTGGAAAACGAAGGTCAGAGAGGTTGAATGGCCCACCCAAGGCCACACAGCTCTCAAGTAGTGGAGTCTGGAATGGAACAGGAATCTGTTTTCTGTCTCCTTCGGTGCCCTTTCCCCTCTTCAGGCAATAAATCTAGGTTACTGGGCCACGGATCCTGGGACCCAGCCCAAGCCTCCTGAAGGTACCAGGCTTCCCCAAGGGGGAGAATGACCCTCAGGGCCGCTTCCCCCTCAAGGACCCAGCTCCCCAGCCAAGAGCTGTGTGGTCTGAGAAGGTGTTTAAACTTTCATGGGTGTCTTGATTGCCCAGCGATAGTGAAGGGCCCTGCTCTCCAGGAAAGGATCCATTTCCCCAGTTCTGTGTGCATTACCCCTGTCTTCCTCCCCCAGAGGCCCAAGGCAGGCCTGGCACATGCATCCTCCCCCCAGTGCACACGGTTAGATTTCTCCCTTTGCAGCAGTTTGCAAGATGAGCATGTTCTGCTTATCAGTTTAGACTGGCTCTCCCAGTGGTCCCCCTTCTCCTTGGAAGCAGTGTCTCCACCCCTACCCCGCCCCAGCCTGGGCTCAATCACCAAAGGGAACAAGAGCAAGAATATTAATAGTACTGGATCCATGTACTCTCAACCAGCACTGATGTGTTTTTGTTGTCTGTGTGAGGTATTATATATTTTTTAAGATTTTTTTTTAAGTAATCTCTACACCCAGTATGGGGCTCGAACTCATAACCTCGGGATTCAAGAGTCACACGCTCTGCCAAATGAGCCAGCTAGGCGGTGCTCCTGTTTGAGACACTATTAAACCTATTTTACAGATGAGGCTCAGTGAAGTACAGGGGCCTGTCTAGGGCCATAAACCTAGTAATTGACAGGACCAGAATTACAGTACCCATCCTTCTATCTGATTCCAGAGTGTATTTGTGGGGGTGTGTATGTATGCGTATGTACGTGTATATATGCATGTTTGCACTTACGTATAATTCTATGTATCTATACACATTCTTTTGAATTCATACAGAGCACACTACAAAAAAGGGCACATCTCAGGGGTACAGCTGGTGAATATTTATAAACTAGACACACCCATGTAACCAGCATCCGGATCCCAAAACAGAACATTCCAGCCCCCACCGTGTCCCTGCTCAGCCATTACCCACCTCCCAAGGCTAATCACTACCCTGACTCCTAAGAGCCAAGATTAGTCTGGCCTGCTGTTGAATTTGGTACAAATAAAATCATATACCATGTATTATTTTGTATACTGCTTCTTTGACTCAGCATTCTGTGGGTGAGATTCATGGCTATTGCCTGGCGTAGCGGCCACTCATGCTTCTTCATGGCTGCCTAGTATTCCACTGGGGGCCCACTCCATCCACTGAGCCATTCTGCAGCTGAAGGACGCTTGTATTGTTTCCAGTTTGGAGACATCACGAATGAAGCTGCTAGGAACACCTGTAATTTATCTATTGCAGTAAAATATACATAATGTAGAACTTACCATTTTAACCTTTTTTATAGAAGTCTTTACTTTTTTTAAGATTTTATTTATTTGATAGAGAGAGAGAGAGCGTGCACACAAGCAGGGGGAGCGGCAGGGAGAGGGAGAAGCAGGCTCCCCGCCGAGCAAGGAGCCCGATGTGGGGCTCGATCCCAGGACCCTGGGATCATGACCTGAGCCGAAGGCAGCCACTTAACCGACTGAGCCACCCAGGTGCCCCTGGACTTTACTGTTTAGAGCAGTTTTAGGTTCACAGCAAAACTGAGTGGCAAGTACAGATTGACCATATGCCCCACTCCCCCCGCACTATCAACATCCCTCACCAGAGTGGTACATTTGTTACACATTATTACCCAAAGTCTATAGTTTACACTAGGGTTCTCTATTGGAGTTGCCTATTCTGTGGTTTTTGACAATGTAGAATGACACATATCTACCATTGTGGTCTCCGACAGAATAGTTTCACTACCCTCAAAGTCCCCTTCGCTCTGCCTGTTCATCCCTCCCTCCTCCCCGACCCCTGGCAACCACTGATCCTTTTACCGCCTTCATGGTTCTGTCTTTTCCGGATGTCATATAATTGGTATCAGCATATAGTCTTTTCAGATTGTCTTCTTTCACTTAGTAATAGGCATTTATGTTTCCTTCATGTCTTCTAGTGGCTTGATAACTGAATAATACTATATTGTCTGGATGGACCACAGTTGATCCATCCCCCTACTGAAGGACATATTGCTTGCTTCCAAGTTTCAGCAATTATGAATAAAGCTGCTATAAACATCCACTTGCAGGCTTTTATGTGGACATCAGTTTTCAGCTCATTTGGGGAAATACCTAGGGGCATGATTGCTGAATCATACAGTAATAGTATGTTTAGTTTTATAAGAAACCACCAAACCCGTCAAAAGTAACTCTACTATTTGCATTCCTACCAGCAGTGAATGAGAGTTCCTGTTGCTCACATCTTCACCAGCATTTGGTGTTGTCATGTTTTGGATCTTAGCAATTCTATTAGGTAGGTAGTGGTATCATGTTGTTTTAATTCGCAATTTCTTAATGACATGACGTTGAGCATCATTTCATATGTTTATTTGCCATCTGTATATCTTGTTTGGTGAGATGTCTGTTCAGGTCTTTTGCCTCTTTTTTAAATTGGGTTGTTTGGGGTTTTTTATTGTCAAGTTTTAAGTGTTTTTGTATATTTTGGATAACAGACCTTCGTCAGATATATTTTTTGCAAATATTTTCTCCCAGTCTGTGGTTTGTCTTCTCATTCTCTCGACTGCATCTTTGCAGAGCAGAAGTTTTTAATTGTCATGAAGTTCAGCCTATCAATTCTTTCATGAATTGTGCCTTTGGTGCTGCACCTAAAAATCATCTTCATAGCCAAGAAAAATCCAGATGTTTTCCTATCTTCTAAGAGTTTTATAGTTTTGCATTTTACATTAGGTTTGTGATCCATTTTGAGTTAATTTTTGTGAAAGGTGTGAGGTCTGAGTCTAGATTTTTTTTTTTTTTTTCGCATGTGGCTATCCAGTTGTCCCAATACCATTTGTGGAAAAGATTGTGTTTGTTCTGTTGTACTACCTTTGCTCCTTTGTCAAAGATCAGCTGACTGTATTTATAGGGGTCTATTTCTGGATGCTCTGTACTGTTCCATTGATCTCTGTGTCTGTTCTTTCATCAAAACCACACTGTCTTGATTACTGTAGCTTTAGAGTAAGTCTTGAAGTCAGGCAGTGTCAGTCCTCCAACGTTGTTTTTCTCCTTCAATACCATGTCGGCTGTTTTCACACAGCAAAAATGACGGAGCCTGGATCTG